ATATATATATATATATATATATATATATATATATATATATAGGGGGAGAGGCGTGAAAAATCCTGTGTAGTGCGGCGCTTGATGCCGCTGTTGCTGCTCTGCTCGCAATGGCTGCCATTGCCGGCTGTTAAACTGTCATGACAGTAGTCATATTGTTGCCTTGCTGGTCTTGCTCTTGGTTTACCACTAAGAAAATAATAAACGGCATGTGCTTACATAAAATAATACGCCAGCAGCTACTAGTAGAGTGCAAAAACAAAACTAGACCAGACGCTAGAGAATGGTGTTCAGTGAATGTTTGTCGGTGTAGTTTATTTAAAAGTTCTTATAAACATTCACCGCTTTATTTTTAATTTTAACGGTAATTTTATTTATTTATTTATTTGAAATTTGTTAATTTATTTAATTGTTTTAAAATATAACTTTCTATTGTAGTTGTGCAGTATATTTATTGTAACAGTGCGTGTATAGTATAATAGTATAATAATAGTAGTTAGAAGCAGAGATATATTTATTTATCTATATTTAATAACACGTAGAAAATATGAAGTCGAAAACGACCTCAAAGCCCAAAGGTGACAGTAGTGATTTGGACCCTAGTGAAATAAACGAGAGCTACGATGAGTTCAACGCGATAATGTTGCCGATATCGAGAACAATGAGCAAAAGTCCGTCAAGTGATGAAGGCATTGAACCGGATTCAGATCTCAAGTCATTGCATCAAGTTCCCGGGCCGTGGAGCTTGGATTCTTCATTGAGCAATGCTGATGATGACTGCTGTAGACGTGATTCCAATAACAGTACCAGCAGCTTGGGGCAAAGACGTAAATCGCGAGCCAAAGTTACACGTTGCTGTAGCTCTGATAGTGCTGTTATCAGCGATGATGATCAGAATAAAGGTAAATATATATATATATATATATATATATAATATGTATATGCGATTTTTTTTTTTTTTTTTTTTTTTTTTTTTTTTTTTTAAGATAATTGTTGTGTAATCGTATAAGAATTATCTTATCACAGTGTGACAAAAAAAGTATTTTTATTATTTGTTGGTTGGATTTATTTTAAAAAATATTTCAATGTTTTAGGATGGGATAACTTGATACTTGGAGATAGAAGCGAGTGCGACTCGATGACGGACGAGAAGCCGAGATATTGGCGAACACCGAGTGTCGTTGTCAGTGATTACTCAGATTACTCTTACCTAGACGAAAAGTTTGAGCGCAATGAGTTGTATGTTGAGGGAGGCACGAGTGGTACACCTAGTCAGGCGAGCAGTTGTTCTTGTTTAGATTGCGATGAAATACGTGAATTTAATGATGATTTACATTCGTCTGCTATTGACAATCATCTTCTACAAGTATGCGGTCTCAGGCGGCACTCTGATTCGTGTTGTGCGTGCTTGAGTACTCGTAATAATATCAATTCCCGGTAAGTTTATGTATTTTTTTTTTTTTTATTATCTTTTTCTGTTATATTTTATTATTTACCTGGAAAAAATATTTACTGTTTGTCATTTTATCAATAAAACCTACATTTTTCATTATTATTGTTTACAATTTATGCTAGATAATTATGTAATGTGTATTGTTGATAAGTATTGTTATTTTTTTGTTTATATAAAATAGGATTAGTAATGAGAGCCGAAGACATTCATGCCTCGCTGTTAATAATTCTTCTCACTTATTTAAACTGGACACTACTGTGAGCTGTACCGAAGAACGAGGATACGATATTACTGAAGGAAATAAAACGACAATTGAACTTCTAGATATCCCGCCGATACGTAAAATCTCGGACTGCTCAACAAACTCGAGTCTGAGTGGGGACGACTTTGAGGTCACCGAACTGCAACCGTTAAAGAGGCCACAGGTGAGGATCGTTTTTTATTATTCTTTTTCTTTATTTCTCCTACTATTTTTTTTTTTTTTCAATACTATTATTATTTTTATTTATATTTTCATGAATTATTGCGGTAATCTTCCGCTTACATCACTAAATAATTACTTGTAACGCTTACAATCCTAGTCATTGATAGACAAGCTGTATAATGTGTACAGTCTTGCTGGTATAATTACTCAACGCAATGTTTTTAATTCAAATGTGACCTCATTATTAAGCTAATAATTGTATCTTCTACATTTAATCATGTGATAATTATCAACATTGCTAATTAATTTGTTTGATAAGCACTCAAGATATCCAACTCTTTATATTGCCTGCTAATTAATTGATTAATTGAAACTTCAAAATTAAATTAAAAAAAAAAAAAAATTCATATATTTAAGTACAGTATGTCTGTGTCTACATTGATGGGTAATAAAAAAATATTACGTGGCGTCTGATTGTATTGTTTTAACGTCTACTGACTTCTGGCAATGACTCAATTGTCTCGCTTTCACCGTCTGCAATGTTTATATTGATTAAAAATTTATAAATAAATGCAGACAAAAGTCTCGAAAGTGTATTTATATGTGTATGAAAGTTTAATAGCTGAATAATTGTGATTTTATTTATTGTTTTTTTTTTTTTGTAATTAAAACTGCATTGTCACTTGACGTCATAAATAAGTAACTAGAGTTTTGAATGTCAACTCATATTACAGTTCTAAATTTGATGTCGTGTATAAGAATAATCGTGATTATTATTATTATTTATATTGTTAAAATAGTTTGATAAGACCACACTGATGTTGGTATTATTTATCAGTACATTGTAATAGTAATTTTATCAGCGTGTTTAACTGCTTGAAAGTACTTGTAAAATGAGAATGATTGTAAACTGATACTTGATGAGTTCTCATTACATCATACATTGTTAGTTTCTCAACGTACGAATGCTTTAGAGCAATAAATAAAATAGAGAGAAAAAAAAAACGACAATTATATAATACTGTGCAGAATGCATAGATAAAGAAATCTTTTGTATTTGTATTTGTTTAAATTAATAGTAATCAGCAATTTGTATGTTCAGAGCAAACTCTAAGACTGTTGTAAAATAATGGTAATGTCAGCTGAAGAATAACTTTTACAATTGCCTGGCAGCTGAATAAGGGACGTAAAGACTGAACGAGAAATAGATCTTCTATAAACGTGAATAGCATTGCTGAAACAAATGGTGAACGAGTTTTTGTGATGCACATTAAGTAATGATTAAATGCCTCTCTTGGATACTCGGTGGCTCGGTGGTACGAGTTGACTTGGTTTACTGGTCAGTCAGTAACTCAAACTTGGGTTGTCAGTAAGTTAGTCAGTCACTCCAGCACACTGGTAAACATCGATTTATCCCCGCCGTAACTTTTTGGTATATTTACAACTGACAATCTCCACGGCGTAATGACTGGACCCCACGCCCACACCAGTCACTTAAAAATGTTCTGCTAAAAAATACGCATAGTCTTGTTTAGGATACTGAAGTGGTAACATCCGTGTCAGTTTAAATAACAACATTATAATTTATTCAATTATATTTTAGTTAAATAACAACAATTACTTATTGTCATTATCGTTGTAATAATAATAATAATAATAATAATAATAATAATAATAATAATAATAATAATAATAATAATAATAATAATAATAATTAGTTGTGTGTCTAGGATGTGAATCATTTCGAAAAGGAAGCATGAGTGTGATATAATTGATTATTTGAAAATGATGATATTTTCTTAGTTTGTTAATTATGAAAATAATGACAGTATTAGATTATTTAGCGTTGAGATTGCTTTGATAAATCAGAAAATTTATTAAATTTAAATTTAAGTAGAAAAGTTATATTTACATAAAGTTAAATTTATTTTAATTTAAAGGCTACGTGTGGGGTAGATGTAGACCCCGAGAAGAGAAGAGAAGAGAAGAGAAGAGAAGCACGGAAGAAGTGAGGGAGTTGAAATCTATAATAAGGTTTTAGTAATGTAATATAACGGTGGCCCTCAAACAGTTGGTGCTTGAAGTGAGTAATCACCCAGATGTGTTAACGTAATCTAACAGTTATGTTTTATTATTACAAGAGGACAGTAGTCGTGTGGTGAGATAACAAAATGTCGATAAAAGTAACGTGATTCTTTATAACGGATGTTGTATACCCAACAATTGATGTCCGCTTGTGACAAATACCGAGTAATGCAATTTTTACGTTCTTCCCTTTATTCTTTATCAATTATTTAATTATTATCTGACAAGAATAGAAAGTAAAGATCAACACTTACTAGTGAACTTGTAATTAAAAAATATAAATCCATAATGAACAATGCTTCCAGGTATAATTAATGATTCACATTGATTGTAAATCATCTTTTATTGTTAATGAGTGCCTGATACACTTTCGATAACGATAAGTCAGTTTTAAAAAACAAAAACAAATTTGTGACGTATTATATCACAGTCATTACTTGTTATAGAACTAATAACTTCATGAAATCATTAAGAATCCCACAAAAAAACCGACTATCAAGATCATTAACTACTTGTTAACGCACTGGGTTTTTTTTTTTTTGAAACGTTATTTATAAAATTTTATATTTATACAATAAAAAAAAAACCATGGGCGATGAAAAAACTCCCAGGTGTTCACGGTCACCGAGTCAATCTCTGACAACGCCTAGTTTGAATCTAATGGAGCAACTGTTGCTGGCCAAAATGGATAGAAACAGTTTGACTGATCATGTCGATAACAACATTAACATAAACAACAACAAAAATTTGAGCAGTCTCGCCACAAGGAAGAAAACACTGATTTTACGCGCTAATTCAATGGACAGTCAAACAAGCGTGAGCACGTTGTATTCAACAAATTCAGCGGATTCTGCCAGTAATCGTTATTGCAAGTGTGACGATTGTTTACTTGGCATTGTCGACAAACATCAACGACATACGCCTACTTCTCTTACTCGTAAAAAGGTAATGTTATCATAAATAACAACAATAACAAAAACAACAATAATAATAATAATAGTGACTAATAACAAAAGGTTTTCTGACCTTGCTTTCGCTTATTCGTGTATTCAAATTATATCTATTATGAAATATGTATTTATAAAAAAAAATACACAACAAAGCTGAAGATGAAACAAATACGACCATGTTATATCTTTTGGAGATTATTTCATCAGTTATTTGTTTGCGTTTAATTAATACAATTATATTTAGTACGTGTGTTTTTTTAATTAATTGGGGATGAAAAAATTAATCGTAGTCAAGGAGAATGAGATTGACAACGATAGCCTTAAGGCTGCTATTAATTATTTGGTTAAAATATGTACTCAGCAATGTATGTAATATAATATAATAGTGCGAACTAAATTAGAAAACTTATGATTGACAGGTATATATGTTATTAATTACATACATTTGTGGTTGCTTTATTATTTAAGCATAAAGTAATCAGATACTATGTACTTAACTTGAGACCAATGAGTTTTACTATATATATATATATATATATATATATATATTTATTTACACCGAGTTGACCAATCACTTCAATTAGCAGTTGTCAATGTTTTCTTCATATGTATTATGTAGCAAATGTCATGTAAGTGATACGATATGTCGAGAATTGTGTTATACTATTACTATTATTGTTAGTGTTAATTTATTAAGATTTAACATTTATCTGTTGTTATTATTATGGGAAATGATAATTTTTTTTAATTTAATTGAATAAAATGGAGGTTATTTTTTGCAGGCATTAGGCGTGACACTCTTTTATATTTATTGAGCACTTATCGCCGGTGAATAAGTACCGTTCCAAATAAATTAAGCGACATTACTTTAACGAAGGCTTGCCGAGATCACAAGCCGGCGATTTATAAATCCAAAGTACACTGACTATGTAATATTCGTGTGAGGTAATTGGTATATACGTCCATATGCGCAGCTCATTAAAAGTCTAGTGAGTTTCTTAAATCCCTGGAGGTAAAACTTTGGTGCATGTAACTCGAGATACATTCATTATCATTAAAATTTTTTAGCTTGTTATTTTTATTTGCCGGTTTGTTACAGACTAGCGTGTTATTAGTGTGCAAACTCGACAGCCAAAGTTAAAATTCACGCCGTAATTCTATGTCATTATTGAGGGAAAAATATATCATATCGTAATTATTTATCAATAAGAAATATCTTGTCAAAAAGTTTTTATAATTGATAAAATTATTTTTATTTACTGACTTATAAATCAGAGATAATCACTAGTTAAGTATTCATTTAAAACATTTATTTATTTATTTATAAATTATAAATTAAAATTATAAGTAGATGTGCGTCAATACTTCTAAATAATTCCCAGAATTCTACGTCCCTTCAGAGGCCTTGAGATTTTTAGGGGGTGGTATTGACGTCAAAGTTTTACGCGGTACTAATTCCTAGATACCTGGTAATATAATTGGTTCCACTACCGAAAAAATTTACTACTGAAACTTGAGTCAACGATTCAATAGTCACACTTATTTGCTCTTAGTAAATTCTTTAATAAATCATTTAGTCATACAGAGAACTTTTAAAGTAATGGGTTATTTAGCTCGGAAATCAAGTGATTCTTCAGTTGACTCAAAAATTACTCATTTAACTAATAAATTTATTAGTCATTGATATTTTACTAATATGACTACGACTAAATCCCGAAGAAAACTTGCTTCTAATAATAAGGTAAATTTTATAATAATTGATAAATTCAATTTAATTGTTATAATTTTCATTAATTATCCTTGAATACATTTTTTACTGTTTTTTAAAGAATTTTTAATGTTTTTTTCATCGATTGTAAATTTGAAGTTTAAAAAAGTTAATACAATTTCAAAAATTTTTTTATAAGTATTCTTAGTTTGTTAGCACTTATTAATTACGCATTAATCTTCTTTTTTTACATCAACTGTAATGATGTAAGTGAAGTTTTTTTTTATTATTATTCATATAAATGCGTCATTGAAATAAAATAAATTAATAGATGAGATATCTTTTATTTAACTAATAATTACAACTGGATAAATAGTTTTTATCAATTTAAAGTGTAATATTTTTTTTTTAATAATTATTTTTTTATAATTAACTTTTTAATGAATAGGAATTATTATGAGTCATTAAAATTTAATTTACTTATAAATGAATTGTCATACATTTAAGCGATAATTATAATCAAGTGATTCTTTCATTAATTTTATTATAGTCTATTTTTTATCAATAAAAGGTATTAAAAATAATATAGTGCCCGGGAAGTTTTAATTTTTCATTAGTGAATTAAAATTTTAATTATCAAGTGTGATAATTTTTTTTAATTCGAAAATTTATTTATAAATTTTTATACAATTGACCACTAATTATAATCGAAGAAATAATTTCATTTAACGTAAATTTTTTAAGACAGTAATTAATTATTCATTTAAGCAAAATAAATTTTTAAATTGAATTTTTTTATTATCAAATAATATTTATCTTAATATGTTTTGTCATAAATATTTAAATAAACGGAAGCATTAAATATTATATTCCGTTTGTATTATAAAAAAGCTAATACTTTACGGTCTAAATTCCGTTATGAGTTTAAAAATAAAATAAGTGAATTACACTAGTGATACCCCAAAGAAGGTAAAAAGTAAAATGTTATACTAACATCAACATGTTAGATAAATTAACTCGTAACATGGTTTCCACGTCAGCCATCAAAGGCTAAAAACACTGTTACACCGTTAATGTTTTAGATCTCAAGTGGATTACATTATATTAGTAGTACATACATTCAGTAGCAGATAGTAGGTACAGAGTTTTAGACGCAATTGACTCATCTGATCTCCATTCAGCTACTGACAACGTACACACACCAAAAGCACCATAGCGGGAAGACTTGAATGAACCATATCAGTAATAATCTCGGCTTGTCTTGTCTTAACTAAATTGAAATAGTTAAATAGTTACATACTGAAAAGCTATAACGTCACAGATAATTTATATATCTCGCTTCCTCTGTTACTTATTAGATTTAAAAAAAAAAAAAAAAAAAAATACTTAGCTCTCTATCACGACGATCTAACTGGACTGACGTATTAACGACAATTTCGGTAGCTAAATGATCTTGCTGTTACTTTATATTTACTGAGTATATAAGGCTTAAGGAGGCCAACTCCTTATATTATAATTTATAATAATATATGTATATAAATAAATATTTATCCACCCATTTTCTTGTTGATTACTTGGCTGTCCATACACGGAAAGTATCTACAAGTCGGATGTAAAAACATAATAAATTACTATATGTATTTAATAAATAAATAAACAAATGAATATGAATAATGAAAAAATAAGGTAAAATTTTATAACTTTGAATAAATATTATAAAAAATAAGTATAAGTCCAAGTGTCCAAGTTGATAAACAATTTTATGCATGCACACTCTAGTTAATTACTTTTATTTGCCATTGGACACAATGACGCACTTTGAGCGCTTCAATTGCGTCAAATTAACCAGTTTATATTTATTTACAGCTAAATAAGTTGCTAATTGATGGTGAAAGTATTTAGATATTAAAAATGACGTAGAATAGGCAATTTTGTAAAACCAACTTAGCTTGTCTTTCAGAATTTGTTAGTTTTTTAAATTAATTTTTATTTAAAATTTAAAAAATACTATACCTGATCCAGTGAGTTGGCATTAATTGTTCTATTCTATTGATATACTTATATATTTATCTAACAATAATAATAATTATGATAATGACACTTGCTTCCATTATTATAGACGGCAGCTGTTTAATTGGTAGTACGGGAAGTTAATAAAGTACGTCACTGATTAACTCATTAACGTCAAGTGACTTGGATACTTATCTTTATTGCGCGAATTATTAAATAAAAATCTCGTTTTTTATTTTATCCACGTAGATACGCTGACTCTGGTGGATAGTTATGATTGGTTGAAACAGCTAGAACAAACAAAAAAAATAACAGAGATAGTATGATTTTTATTTACGTAATAAAATGTAATGTGTATTGAGACAATTGTCATGAGAAACGGCTGTAGACTAGACTACGCACTTTTTAACCAGTACGGATCATGTAACTATAACTACTTAGTATATATACGAGTTACGCTGTGTAACAGTGATAGAAAATTACTCTTTTGTACTTACGAGCAAGAAACAACTAAATAAATACATACTCATGTGTAATATACCGTTGAGTCAAGACAGGTCAAATTAAAAGTGGCACAGCGGCTTTTCACATCGTTAAATCCTGAAAAATAACTAATATTAGTATTTATAAATATAAATATTTATTGTCCGGATCAATTATTTGATCATTCATTGTATTCTTCAAAGTTATGTATCATAGAATTTATTTATATCATTGATATACTGTATGTGGGTGGATGATAAATTTATCTATACTTACGCGTTTTGTTGGATTTAATGATATTTAATTGATGATGATCTGTGGCAACAATATCTGAAGATTTATTTAAGCGAAATTGGAATGAAGGATATATACACAAGACTGTAAAATTAAAATTTTTGTTATTTTCAATGACAATAATAAGAATGTATTAATAATTGTATAAATTTACTTACAGAGTTTTTACAGAAAATATTCTAAAAAATAACAATAGTTATTATTATAATTTATAAATAAAATATTTATTATAGAAGAAGAAATATGAGTCAATAATAAAATTTTCAAGGTTATGTATCATATTTATTATGACTATTAATATAGAAGATTTTTTTCATATAAAAGTACAATAGAAGAAATCAAAAAAATGTTATTTAAAGGAAAAACTAAACTGTTGTCATGACTGTTATTTTAATTTTATGTATGTGGGTGATGGAAATATATGATAAGAATCAATAGTAACATCACTAAAGGAAGAAAATATAATAAGTGGATCAAAAATGTAAAAACGGAAGGATAATTATAGAAAAAAAAAAAATTCTAGAGAAAATTATAAAAAATGAAGACAACAATAATACGTATTGTAATAATAATTGATTAACAATAATATTTATCATAAGAAAAGGAATGAATATAAGATAATTTTTACAAGGTTATGTATCACATTTTCAGTTAACGTATTTATTAATAAATGTATTTATATGTAGGTGGATGATGTAAATATATATATATATATATATAAGTTTACTTACATATTGTAGATGAATTGAATAATCTTGAATTGGCGAGAATCAACATCAACAAGAACATCATCATAATCATCATCTGAAGAATAAGGAGAAGTATCGATCGAAATTATAATAAAGAAAAGAATGATGTAAAATGAAATAAAAAAAATTAAGTTGTTCTGGGTCTGGGATGTTCACATATCGAACCGGAGATAGTGGGAGAAAATAAAATGCACACAAAGTTAAGTACTGGTAGTTGAATAAGTATATCGGTAGTTGGTGTATGTGAGGAGTGGTGAGGAGGACAGTTATAATGTAAGAATAAGACTAATAGCTCTTGATAGCAGCAGTCGCCGTCAGTGACTTCCGAGTTGAGCACGTGGCAGACTTGTGGAATTTACGTGCTGGATTTGTTGTAATTATTAATCGTTTATTTATTGTTACTGTTGTTGTGAGTTTAAATATATCCAGTGGCGACGTGATCTCAGTCAGTCAGTCAGTCGCTAAATCTAATCAGATAGTTACTTGCAATGCAAGATACTTGCGGAATAATGATCCCAACTATTGTCTACACCAAACCCAGTTTAAGCGACTGCAGTTTTGATGAAGACAACAAGAGCACGGGCAGCGAGACCCCCAAAAAATACGTCAGGCAAAGGAGACCCTCAAGGTCCAGAGTGAGAAGAAATTCCCGGAGACTGTCGATCAATCGAGACGAACACTCGTCTTCTTCTTCGCGGAGTCCTTCGCCGTCCAGACAATACCTCAATGAAAGTTTAATAAAGTTCGCCGCTGACATTGAGATCGCCGCTGATGAAGATGATAATCTTGATCAAGATCATCAGGATAAAAGTAATGAGCGTGAGTGTGAGAGTACTCAAAAAAATAAATTTTTTAAAAACAATGGCACGGGTTATGGGGAGTATTTACAATTACTTAAAGTACCGCAGACTAATTCGTTAAATCTTGAGTGGGGTGAGCCCAGTGGCGATGATCTTAGTTCTGAATGGGAGTCTGATTATTCTGAAGGCCAACATATTCAAATTATTGACACTAATCATATATTACCGAAGGTAAATTTTTAGTTAAGTTTAATACCAGGTCGTCAAAAGAATTGTATTTGTTAAACATTTTTTTTCTTTATATTTAACATTTAATCATTTTTGTTTTCTCTTTTTATTATATATATTGTTTCGTGGTGAATTTAACCGTGAAATTTTTTTTCTGTTGCAGAGTTCTGGATGGAGGAAGCTTAGGAATATTGTACAGTGGACTCCGTTCTTTCAGACCTACAAAAAACATCGTTATCCATGGGTAAGAATTTTATTATTTATTTATTATAATTGATGAATTAATTAATTATGCTCGTCATTTTATACTATTGAAAAATCTGAAAATGTCAGGGCATTTATGGATTGAAAGAGTTTTTTTTTTTTTTCCTCCAGAGACTAGTAGAAAAATTCTAAATTTATTAACTTGAAGAGTGTGTTAAGTTTTTGAATTAATTATGAAACAAAAAAAAAATTGTTTGGAATTTTTTAAATTCTATTGAGAAATAGGAAGAGTGATATACTTTTATTATGAAATTTTTAATCATTACAAAATAGAACTTTAGTATAAATTCCTTAAAAAAAAAAAAAAAAAAATGATATTCTCAATCAATTTTAAAACTAGAAAAATTTAATTTTTATATCAAAATATTATTTATCTTTAAAATTCATAGAATTAAATTTATGGCGATTATGATTAATGTTAGAAAAAAAAAAAGTTGTTATAATTGTCAACAATTTATAATCGATTGTTTTATTTATGGCAGATACAATTAGGAGGACACCAAGGGAACTTTCGAGCTGGTCCAACTCCTGGGACGATTCTAAAAAAATTATGCCCACAAGAGGAAGCTTGTTTCCGTTTACTAATGAATGACGTACTGAGACCGTACGTGCCTGAGTTCAAAGGTGTGCTAGACGTAAGAGAAGAAGAGGGACACCAGAATGAAGAATCAGACGTAAAGAGTGTCGATGACTCTAGTTGCTGCAAGAGTAGTTCGATAGTGACGTCGTATTTGCAATTGCAAGACCTGCTGGGGGACTTTGAGCAGCCTTGTGTAATGGACTGTAAAGTTGGAGTGAGGACATACTTGGAGTCGGAGCTGGCGAAAGCAAAAGAGCGACCGAAATTAAGGAAAGACATGTACGAGAAAATGATCCAAGTAGATCCGTCGGCACCGAGTTTGGAGGAGAAAAAAATGCAGGGTGTCACCAAGCCGAGATATATGGTGTGGCGCGAGACGATATCGAGCACAGCCACCCTTGGATTCCGAGTCGAAGGCATTAAACTTAGTCACGGTGGTTCAACCAAGGATTTCAAGACAACAAGAACTCGTGAACAAGTTACAGAAGCCCTGAAACGTTTTGTTGAAAATTATCCGCATGCTGTTCCTAAATATTTGCAACGTCTCAAGGCTATAAGAGCGACCTTAAAAACTTCACCTTTCTTCGCAACACATGAAATTGTCGGCTCAAGTCTTCTTTTTGTTCATGATTCGAAAAACGCCGGGGTATGGATGATTGATTTTGCCAAGACGCTGCCTCTGCCTCCGCACGTGCCCAGGATCCAGCATGACGCTGAATGGCAAGTCGGCAACCACGAGGACGGATATTTAATCGGTGTTAATAATTTGATTGATATTTTTGAGGATATTAAAAATTTTGATAAATCATAAGATTAATTAATTAATGTTAATTAATAATTATTAGCTTTGTTTAAATGTTGACAAGAGAGACTTGAAATGAATATATTAAGTAAAAAACAATAACTTGAGGCTTGCAAAAGTATAAAAGTGTATTATAATTATAATTACGTGTGACATCAATTGTTATCATTTAATGTTTTTGTGTTTATTAAATGATAATACTTAGCGATATGGAGAGTATACGTAAACTCAGTAGTTCGATAGACCAGTAATTATCATTACGAAAATTTAATTTAAAAGTGAGATTCATGAGATTAAACAAAAAGATAATTCAGTGAATGAATAATTAAACGGGATTTCAAGTTTCTCCTTCAAAAAATAATATCAATGTGACCTTATTAATTAACACTGTCGAGCGGATCTTGATATTTTTTAAAAAATTACAGAGGTCCGAATGAACAGATAAGAGACCAAAGACGCGGTAGTTTTATGGCTACCTAGTAATTTTTTTTTCTTCATAATAAAATAGTAGCTTCACAAACGACGTTACAGTAAAGCAATCATTTTTTTTCTAAGATAAATTTTTATAAAATGTATCTACTATTAGTTGATAGAGTCAACTCTGTTGTTAAAGTTCTTGGTTTTTTTTTTTTTTAAATAAGTAATAATAAAGCAACACAAAAATAAAGAAATAAAAATAATAATTATAATTAATATAATAATAAATTTCAACAATCTCTTTTTTACTAAGAGCGTAATAGTTAATTTAATAAACTATTTATACGTAAGATTTTATTTATACTTTTGAAATAATATTGCGAAATCGTCTCTGACCCGAGCGATAAAGTATATTTTATATTCACACAATGTACCACACACATTTGTAAATAAATTTTTTCATTTGTCATATTTAAAAAAAAAAAAAAAAAATAAAACTAAATAAAACAAAACGAAAAATTTTAAACACTTTAATCTTGGTATTTAAAATCTATCACACCCACTATTATATCAATTGTTTCTTTTTGGTTTTTAACGAATTGTTCACCGTAATAATACATTCATTACTTTAACTGGTAGCAAAAGGATGTTTAAGCTCACTGAGCTTTACACTATCAGAACACCGACTATTCTACTATATGTACAAATATTTATAAACAAAAATTAGTAATTATTTTCATCACGGTGCGCTGTACGGATTATTTCTTGTCGTCTGCGACGTCTGAATTATTTGCTGTTGTTGCTGTTGCTGCTGCTGCTGTTGTTGCTGTTGTTGTTGTTGCTGCTGCTGCTGCTGTTGTTGCTGTTGCTGTTGCTGCTGTTGTTGTTGAAATTGTTGTTGCTGAAGGTGCTGCTGTTGCGGAGTGGTTTGAGTACCTGAAATAGACGTTGAAGCAAGAACACGAGCATAAACAGCAGTGCCAGTAGTTTTCAGGCCAGCTGGTGTTGGTATGACCTTCAACCCTTGTAGAGCTTTTAACATATGACTTGGCAAAATTATTGGCTGTTGTTGTCCTGCTTGCTGTTGTTGAGGCGACTGTTTACCGAGGACGACGCTATTACCTCCAGTGATTCCTGTGACAACGCCTTTATTGGCACTAGCCAGGACTATTGGTTTTCCAGCTAATTGAGCCGCAACCATTCGTACTGTTTGGGCGCCTGGTGTTTGCGATTGCTGTGAACTGACAACTATTTTGGTTTGTCCCGGAGATCCCTGTGCTTGCGATACCAACTGAAATATAAAAAAAATTTCATTTTATATAAAATTTGTAGATAATTTTTTAATTTATAAAATAAACATTAACTTTATACGCCCTTAAAGTTCTCGGAAATCATAAGGATGTATAATAACAATCTAAACACCTTACTCAGATGGAATCTGTACCAAAAGATATTAATAGTGATAACAATGACGTACTAATGAATTATCTATAACTATTATTTAAATAATGATAGTCAATTTAATGATGTAAACAGTTAGAGATGTGAGTCACTGATAATTTTCAATGGAACTGTACGCGACATTTGTGACGCATTTGACAATAAAAAACAGATAAACATTTAATATAGTAGAAAGTATTATTACCTGGTATTGTGTCTGAATCACTGGTTTGCCCTGACGATTGACTTGTGTGGGAGAAGTTGTCGTTGCTAGCTTGAGACCCTTTTGAGCGAGCAAACTTTCGACTGAGATAAGTTGCCCACTTCCGCTGCTCAGTACTTTGGCAAGAATTTTCTGCTGCTGCTGCTGTTGCTGCTGATGATGAGGGGATTGCTGAATCTGTACAGCAATTGGTTTCCCGCCGATTTGAGCGATTATTCGCTGCATTCCCGGAGTTTGTATCGTCGCTTGCTGAGGCTGCGATTGCTGCTGGGGTTGTTGGTGCTGATGTAACTGCACGTGCTGTTGCTGTTGTTGGACTTGCTGCTGTTGTTGCTGCTGCTGCTGAATTTGTTGCTGTTGTTGCTGACTTATTACTAATCGCTGTTGCAGCTGATGATTCAGTTGTCTTTGTTGCTGTTGCTAAAATAAGAATTTAATTATAATTTATTATCTCAATTAATTTATAAATTTATTATTATTATTATTAAAAAAAAAAAGTAATGGAAAATATAAATATTACCTTCAATTGTTGAATTTGCTGGGCATGGGTAGCTGATGGTGATGACTGTTTAATAAATATTGTAGGCCCTTGAAGACCATGACCCGTCAACAATGATTTTATTTGTCCAGAGCTCACTAGTTTTATCTGCGAAGCCAGCAGAGTTTTTCCCGGTAGTACATGTTGCTGTTGCTGTTGCTGTGGTGGTTGTTGTTGTTGCTGTTGCTGCTGCTGCTGCTGCTGCTGTTGTTGTTGTTGTTGTTGTTGTTGTTGCTGTTTAATATTAGTATTCTGAAGAATACTTTTACCCGTTTGATTCGTTAAAACAGTTGGCTGAACTTGATTATGAATTTTAGCTGTAGGAAATATAGCTGTGACATTCGGCGTAGATGTTCCTGCGTTGGACGTTATCGCCGACACAGCCTGGGCCGACTGCAGTACCGAAGGTCCGGACAGCCTGATTGTCTGTACACCCGCCGAAGTTGACACCTGAATTTGGTGGTGTGGGAAATGTTGATTCGACTGCAATAAACTCTGGGTACCAGCTGTCTTCACAACAGTCACCGGTTTTCCACTAATAGACCCCATTTTTTTAACTGTAGGAATCGCTGGTGATATCTGCGGTTTCATCTCAACAACAGCAGCAGCAGCAGCAGCAGCAGCAGCAGCAGAATCTCGTTCAATTGTCGAACTTGAAACTACTGCAGGCGTAGAAAATATAACTGGAGGAACACTGGATGTCACAGGAGCCACGGTGGAAATCACAGTAGACATTGTACTTGTAACAGGTGTCTCAATAGAAACCGACTGGTCTATTCTAATTTTATCCTCTGGAACTCTCGGCTCTTTCTTGATAATCAATTGCGTCTGCAACGCTATTTTCTTTTCTTTCTTCGGTGTCGACTCTTTTAGAGCATTCGGGACCTGCTCTTTTCCGTTCATCAGCTTATGATTCAACTGCACAGTTTTATTGCGCGAATTTCCCCCAGGATTCTTCTTGGTTTTCGTCACTCCCTGGAGTTGCTGGTGATACATTTCAAATTCAGACTCGGAACGCGCTCGATGGAGATACAGCCACTCTTTACGTCTAGGGTAGTACCTTACACAAGGATCTGTTTCATAGTGAAGCCGATCGAGCGCACCGGAGACTACAGAATTAAGATAATTATCTTTTTCATTACACTTCTCACCGTCATTGGGACTGTACTCCTTAATATATTGCGAGTCCTTGAGAAGCATACAAATATCAGCTCGAGTTCCTTCACCGTTGGGAAGTCGAGCAGTCGCGTCTCTCACCAACGCCAAAATGGTAACAAAGTTTGGTCGATCCGCGACAAGCAAGGAGTGACCTCGCGGTTTAGTGAGACCCGCACCGATGTTGTGATGGTAAATTCCCTTAACAGGACCCACCACCGACTCGTACCCGTGCATTTTGTAAGTAAATGCTTTATGAGGCGACGCGTATCGTAACCTCTCTTGCCGTTGGAATTCTTCACGCTCCTCCGGTGTTGATAAACGTACTTTCCAGTCAGTGGGACATAAAGCACGAGGTGGCTCCGATTCCGTCATAGCTGCTGCTGCGTCGCCAATTGACTCGACAGCTGGGCTTCCACTACGAACGTTATTCGTACCACTGCCATTGCTGCTTCCGTTCCCGTACATAACTGGTGCTGCTGTAGTTTTTATAGGAACGATAACGGGAGTACTTTCTGTAAATGATGGTAACTTAGGAGTGCTGAGAACATTTCGGTACATCAAAAATTGATTACAAAGAACCGCCAGTCGAGAATCCGAGTCTCTACCAGCACCGATCCACGCGTAAATCCCTCGTCCTTTGTTCTCCAAATAGGGAACGAATTCCGAGTCTTGTTGATCTGTTTCTTGAATGCAAACCAGTTCTCCCGCGAGGAACCCCAGTGCTGATGATACCAATGCCGACCAAGAGTTTGACAGGGAGTACCAGTCATTCAACGGCGATATTGGGTTATTTTGCCACAGCGAAACAGCATCTTTAACTTCGGCGGTGTTCATACGGAACTCACCTTTGGAAACAAATGCGTCTCTTAAAAGTGAAAAGAAACAGGTATGAGTTTCTTGCATCAAATCACCGCTGCCGTTTATTCTGATATCATCTTCTTCGGCGGTTATCGATATGTTTTTATCAGGCATACCTATAACACGATTGTCTTCACACTGTACTTGTACGTCATCGAGAATATCAATGCCGTCGTCAAGTTGTATTGGTATCTGCATCATGTCAATATTCTCCAGATCAAGTTCTTTTTTACTGTCAAGATCCTCTTCTTCTTCTTCTTCTTCACTTACAGCGCTTATTTCATCCGGAATAATATACTCTGATTTAACTTCCGTTCTCATGTAGTCAAGCTCTTCGAGCTCTTTCTTTATTTCTGGAAGCTGCGGTAACGGCTCTGGTATTGGTACCGGTGCCGGGGCTACGACAACTGGTTTATTGTACTTGGGTGTAATAACATTAATTTTTTTCTTAGCGGATGTCGGACTAATATCAAAAGAATCTGTAGGCTCTATTTTTACAGGGATAATATTAGTTGAACGTAATGTTTCTTGACATACTTTTGGCTCGATTTCTTTATTAAACACGTGATTATTGTCCTCGATTGCATTGTTGTAACTATAATTATTGCTATCAAGCTCAGTTTTAACAGCTGAACTAGTTGGAATTAATTTATTAGGTATCACAGGTGGACACAAACTAGGCTCAACTTTTACCCGTTTTTTGGGCGAATTAATACGCACCGGATTGCTAAACGTTAACTTATGTTTCTGTCCGACTTGAGCGCGTTGAGTCAACTCAGCCAGCACAATACCTTGGGTATTTAGCTCCGGATGAATATCTTGCCGCGCTCTTCGCCGTTTATGAGCAATTAGCATGGTCCGGTACAAATCTTCATTCATTTCACGCACCAGAAACGAAGGATTCGGGGTAAATTCTTCGCGCTGGAGGGTCGAAAACACTGGTCGAATTTCTTCATCGTCGGTATTCAGATGGTTAGTACGCATTTGGGTTGCTTGAATACCGGGGCTCTTTCGCTTTTTCTTTTGTTTGGTGTTTGGTATCTGAAACTGGTGGTAGTTCTCTTCATTCTCTGACGTCGTGTCAGCGAATCGCGCGATACCAAGCTCTGCTTTTACGGCGTTCAATTCTTCAACGTAGCGCATTTGAGTTTTTTCTTCCAAAATAGCTGGCGTAGGCTTACGCCAATGTAATTTAGACATACGGTGAGCCGTTGGCTGACTAAAGCCCTGTTTGTAAGCGTTGAGTAACAAATTTTCTCGCGATTTAAACAATTGGTTTGCTAATTCATACGTTCGTTTACGTTCTTCGAATAGTAATCTTCTTTTTTGAGCTTTACGAACCAAACGTCTCATTCTTCTTATGTCAGGTCTAAAATGGCCTGATGAAAGATGAGTATGAAACGATTCAAGTGGCGATACTCCAAACCTATAATTACATTTATTATTATGATTATGATTATTTTACAAGCCAAGAGAAAATAATAGTAATAATCACCTGTGGATTTCCCTCTGAAATAACATTTTTAATGTTTTTTCCTGCTCAGCAGCAACATCGCAATCTGTAGGAAAATTTGGCATATACCGACTCAGAGATTCACGTTGTTCTTGATTCAAACAATCTTGCCAAATATTCGGGTACTCGAGCAATTCATAAAAAATAGACGAATGCTCGCAAAGATCTTGAGGTAGTTTTATTTTACTTCCAGCAGCCACGCAGGTTTCCCATCTCTAAAAATAATTATTAAATTAATAAACTGCCAAAAAATAATCACCTGAAAGAAATAAGTTACGTACAACTTCGTCGACACTTTCATCTGGTATCTGCTGGGAGTCTTGGTCATCATCGTCTTCGTCCTCGTCATCGTTCTCCTCATCCTCATCATCTTCATCCCCAGAGCTATGTGTCTCTGAGCCAGTGGTATCGTGGTCATCAGCACTGTCATCAGTGTTATCGGATGTCGAACTACTGCCGCTTGAACTACTGGTACATGTGTTACTCCTAGATCCGTGATAAGATTCTTCATCCTCCTCTTCTTCAGCATTTGAGTCGCCACCAGCTGAGCACTCATCATCAATCTACGGAAAAACAAACAACAATTATTTAAATGATTAATTAATAATCAATAATTAGTCATAATTACGTAACAAAATAATTAAATAAATCAATGAAACCATTTCAATTCACCAACACTTGAATAACTAATAGATTTATTTGTTTTGATACAATATTTTTGCAAGAACATTTACCTACTGGTGGTGGTTAATGTTCCTGAGGGTTTTTACAAAAATAGCACATGAGTATTTAAATAAATATTAGTTTGGTTAATACTAAAATACATATTGTAAAAAACCAACCTCCATAATTGACAACGATTTTTCTTTTTTTTTTTTTTTTTTTTTTTTTTTTAATAGAGTGCTATTTGCACGCGTTACTTTGGCGTTATTTCGTATCCACAATTATCACACATACACACACAACTCACACACACGGTTGTTGTCGTATATATGTGTAGATCTAGAGATATACATATAGTGTGGTAGTTGCATATGATGGTACTTGAATGTACATATGTATATGTATCCTCTAAATGTGCTAGACTGGTATCGTACTCGTAGTTGTATTTACACTTACACGGACACAGACGACACACAAATACAAGTTTAAAATAAAATAATAATAAAGTATACACAATAGTTGTCTTGTCAAGCAGAGTGTAGTCAAATGGTATGCACCCCGGGTGAAAAATAGTTGGGGTAATATTGTTAATATACTGAATGATCTTTGTTTTTGTATTGATCGTATTATTAGGTAATCTCGCCGTTGGAGGATCGACCTGTCACAGCCACAATACTCCTACTCCACCGTGAATTTTTCGTCATGGCGTGGAAAGTGTAAAGCGGACGAACCAACAGTTAACGTTTGTTGCTGCTGTACATTTATCGAATAGGAATAAAAGGGAAGGAACATGGAGTGCGCACTCTCTACATAACTTTATCTTATAGTTGGAACTACTACGCGCGCTTAAATTAACTCAGGTTTGTTTATTTGCGATTTACTTTTCTTTTTGCACTATTTCAATTACTTATTCTTTTATTTTGTTCGTTTATTATTGATGCTTTGTTTTAGGAAGTGAGATCTAACGGGTGTAAAATTTCCATGAAAATTAATTTAGCAGATATTTAATAATTTTTTTAATAAATAAATTATGGCAAAAAAAATTATAAAAAAAAAAAATTGACATGTAGAAATTTTAAATAACTAAAAATGCAATTTTTCAAAAATAATTTTTCGGAACAAATTTATTTATTAAAAAAAAACTAAAAAATAATCAAGTGACTGCTAACTTTAATCCTAATATAAAATTGAGATGAAATGTATGTGGCATCAAACTATTCGTAACGTGATTGGTTGAATATATCATAAGCATGAAAATATATGCAAACTCCATAGTCAGGGCGCGCGCTTGCGCGCGAAAATTAAATTCTAGTCCCATAATAAAATTGAGATGAAATGTATGTGGCATCAAACTATTCGTAACGTGATTGGTCGAATATATCATCCCATAATAAAATTGAGATGAAATGTATGTGGCATCAAACTATTCGTAACGTGATTGGTCGAATATATCATAAGCATGAAAATATATGCAAACTCTATAGTCAAGGCGCGCGTAAATTCAAATTCTAGTAATGTCAAAAAATTTCAAGATTATGAAGCGGAAATATTTTTTTTTTTGCTGATAATGAAAACTGCAAGCGTGTGACATTCTTTTATAAACTCTTTTTCAAATAATATTTAATATTTGACAAACACGCAATTATTTTATAGTGGTAAATATTGCAATTAACAATAATTATTATTTTTATTTTTATTGTTCAATGAAAAACATTCCAACAATTTTTAAGAATACTTCAAAATAATTTTAGCTGATAATTTAGAATTTTTTTATTAAATACATCAAAAGTTTTTAATTTCAGATAATTTTGATGTCCAAAAATTTAATTGAAGAGTTTAATAAAATATAAATAAGCTTTATTACATTATTTTTGGAAGATTAATCAAAATTACTTGAAATATTTTTTGATGTATTAAAAGTATTAAATAACTAATTATTTTTAAGTGAACTTATGAATAACAACAAAATAAAAGAATAGAGCAAAAATTAAATTGGTATGATGTAGTCGATAAAATAGTTCTCCTAGTTCAACTTCGACAAATGAAAACTTACCTTTAAGTTGTTATGTATAGTTATAATAGTTATATGCAAGCACAAATATTGCTATCGATGTTTTAAGTTTTATAACCTCGTAACCAATGAGGTAAAAGTAAATAAACTAAAGAAGTTGTAAGTGAAAATATGTGGAATGGAATGGAAACTATGTGGAATGTAACGAGTTTAAACTTGGGCGTTTAATTTATTGAGACTACTGTAGAGTCCTAGAATTCATTAGCCGTAGAGTAGAAAAATGAATATAAGCTGTAAAAATTAATTATAAATATTTTTGCAGTGCGAATTACAACTGATGGCTCGTTGAGACCATCTGCAAAAAAAAAAGTTTTGTTACATGCAATGGTTGGTTGTGGTCTTCCCCGGTCTTTGTGCTTGTAGTTATGGAGTGTTTCAAAATCTATCGACTCCTATCACAGATGGACACGTAATCCGTTTGCCTGGGCATAAGCATCGCTGGGTGCTCAACATACATTTATTTGTATTCCTATAACAAAAGAGGATAGATATACAGAATTGGAGACACATATAACTAGAATTTCAAAAGGGAAAACAAGTCAGTTATAATGGTGAATTTGAAGTGATAACATCGCTCGGTCGTCAGTGATAAAACATTTATTGCGTCATTTTATCAAAATCATTTAATTGGATTAAACAGTTAATTTCGAATTTTTTTGAGGAAAAATTTTGATTTGTCAAGGTAAAAAATTTTTTTTTTTTTTTCCTTTTTTATAAGAACAAATTTAGTACTTATCTGATCATTATATTCTTTTACAAAAAAATATTTAAAAAAAAATTTTTTTTCAAAATTTGGTTCTGCTTAATAAGTTAAAAAATTCTTTAATTTTCTAAACGTGCAAATTTTATATTTCTTTTGTTATTGAATTGATAAAATATTGAAATAATTATTTAAAAATCAGATCACATTTGACAATTTTTGAATTTATTCAATAAATAAATTAGTGCTAAAAACTCATTTTAGAAAATTTACATTCACATTTTTTTTTTATTTTCAAATGGATTTTTTTGTCCTTATTTATTGTCTAAAAAAATTTTTAAAGGTTATTAAATATCTGTTATGTTAAATATCAAATTAAAATACTATTTTGATGTTTTTTACGAGTAAAATAAGAGCTAATATAAAGAATAATGTTTTCAATCGTTTTCTATAAAATAATTTATTATTAATAGTACTTCTTCACTCATAAAATATCTCTTAAAGATAATATTTATGAGGAGAGATTATATTCTCTTTGTGTAGAATTTCTCAGAATTGATGACTTTTTATCTTGCAGAATTTAAGTTTTTGATAAAATTCAAACATTTCTGCACGTTGTACGTGGAAATAATATATAGATACAGGAATATTTAAAAGCCGATGTACTAATCAATTTAGTTGAAGGGACCCGGTGGGCTAGCGGCCTACAATTTAAGGCTATTTTAAAAAATTTTATTTTTTTTCAAATTAGAAAAATAGCGTTGAAGTTCCCCTCAAAAAAAAAATGAACCTGACTGGTGGGTGTTTATCTCTCCCTCTGATCTGAAATAAAAAAAAATGTCTGATTTTTCATTCTAGTTCCTGCGATAACGATACTTATACTAATTAAAAATCCGTCATTTTTTTTTACTTCAAATCAGAGGGAGAGATAAATCAACACCCAACAAGGGTACCCTAATATTAAATAAGCTATAAGAAACTTCTATAAACACAATGTGTCATGTTGGATGATATTTAATTCATTGAACGATAGTTCATAGATATATTCTTATTTATTTCTATTGGATCGTTCAAATTTTATAGCTTCGTTGTATAATTACAATGTGAAAAACATTAAAAACTTGTTCTATAATTTAATTGGAATTGAATAAAAATTTTTAATATTAATCATGAAAATAATAAATTTACTGATGATGTATTAATCTATAAATAAAACTACTGAAGTTGCGAATTAAAATTTTTTCTCTACCAATAGCTTTCACAGTTTTATGATGAAATATAAATTAACTCAAATTTCATAACAATACTTCTTCTCTGACAAATGCTGACATATTATGATTTCAAGTAATAATTTTGTAAAAATAAATTTTTTTGTTGAAACAGATGAATAAGAATCCGATTTCAGTATTGCAAGAATTCTTGCAAAAAAATTGCTATCCCTTGCCGAGATACGATATCATCGCTACGTCTTCGGTAAACTTCACCTACCGAGTAATGTGTGAAATCCGGAGTCATCGTTTTTCGGCTACTGGGCAATCAAAAAATAAACAGACAGCGAAATTTAATGCTGCTGAAAATTTGATCATCCAATTGAAAAGTAAAAACTTCAATATTTTTTACGAACCAGAAAATATTGAATCTCCGGAGAACAACTCACATTCCTCAACGCTAAATGGAGTAAATTTCATCGGGAAATTACAAGTAAGTAATCTTATATGAATGTTTTATTTATATAATTGTTTTTAAAAAAATTTCATATTTATTGGTCGTATGCACCTCGTTAAAAAATAAAATTTTATTAGTCAATTTTAAGGAGTTCATTTTACTGATAGATAAATTACATTGAATTTAAATCAGTGTACTTTTTACAATTAAAATCGATAAATCTAAATAATCTACGCCCACTACTACGCAACTTTGTGGGCAATGAGTGCTACTGGAAATTTTAAAATTGTAAAAAATTGAGAAAAATCAGACGAATCTAACAGTGCAAAATTCACTGAAATCCGTGAATAGATACTTTTGTTCTTAACAAAAAACGTTTTGCAAATAAAGCCTTGATTAACTTTAAATGATTCCTATAAGAATCATATAAGATATATTTCATAAGAGATTAATTTAATTTACATAATAAAAAAATTCAATCTTTTCTGAATCGATTGGTCACATAATATAACCAAAAATGTTAATTAATAATAGCAAAAAAAATAATTTATTAAATCACTATTAAATAACTATTAATACTGTAACATTTTTAAATAAATTTAAATTAAATTTTTGAAAAATGACTTAGCAAATTAAAAAAAATTTAACAGAAAATTTTTCACGAAAATAATAATTTTGTTAATTTTAAATGTCATTAAATTTTCATTAACTTAATCGTATCATAAATTACAAAATTTAAAACTTTACAACATCTCAGTTACTTATTGTATTCATTTTATTCGGAAACGAATAGAAATATTCGTTAGAAATACTAGGACTCAGATCAAATAATTTCAACACTTGTCTTAAGTTAAATACCTTCTCTTTTGTCTCCTTATCCCATTATAATTTCTTTGTCTTTTTGTTGAAAATTGTTCTCTGAAAAAATTTTTCTGCCCTCCGGCCGAAAAGTGGCAACTTTCTGGCCGCTGCGCTAAACAAAGTTGCCACATTCCGGCTACGTCGAGCAGAAAAATAGTATAAACACCTTGGCCAGTAAAAAGTAAAGCCTCAGATCACATGTTTATCAACCTCGGCTTCGCCTCGGCCAACAATTACATGTGATCTGAGACTTTTCTTATTTTACTGGCCTAGGTATGTAATATACTATTACTTTAAAGTAGTTATTATCAATTGCACAGATAATAATAAAGTGTATTTAAACGTTAAAATAATAAGAATAGGATATTCATTACTGATAATTTTTTGTGAATTTTTTTTTTTAATTTGCCAACTCATTTTTCAAAAACTTAATTTAAATTTATTAAAAAAAGTCAGAGCAGAAATAGTTTTGCGGATTACAATAAACATTTATTAATATTTAATTTGTTTGTTTATTTTTATTGAAAAAATTATTACTTGAAATAAATTCACCCACGTTTTGGGAAATTTCAATTGAGACCGAGCGGCACGCGCAACTTTTCTCCCACTCGGGATTTGCGCAGACCACGTCGGTAACTGATACAGTCTTAAGCAAGTATTTTCTGTATTTTGATTTAATAAATTATTTTTTTTGCTATTATTAATTAACATTTTTAGTTATATTATGTGATCAATCGATTCAGAAAAGATTGAATTTTTTTATTATGTTAATTAAATTAATCTCTTATGAAAAATATTCTTATAGGAATCATTTAAAGTCGGTCAAGGCTCTATTTGCAAAACGTTTTTTGTTAAGAACAAAAGTATCTATTCACAGATTTCAGTGAATTTTGCACTGTTATATTCGTCTGATTTTTCTCAATTTTTTACAATTTTAAAATTTCCAGTGGCACTCATTGCCCACAAAGTTGCGTAGTAACGGGCGTAGACTATAATTATTTTTAGTATTTACTTTTTCATTGTTATGTTTCATTCGACTAAGCTAATGTTAATATGATATTAATTCCAAGTGTATTTTATAAATGTTTTTATCGATTCTTTTCCAGGAACAATGCTTGAAGCATAGGTATGTCATGCCGTGTTACAGCGAGGGAGTTTATTCTCAAGGTCACACCGACTTTAAGATGACTTGCACCGTGGGTACTTATTGCGTAGAAGGTACGTCTAACGGCAAGAAAAAACAAGCTAAGTATGCTTGCGCCAAAAAAATGATAGAAGATTTGGAAAATATGTCCGAGACGCAAAAACTTCAATATAACATACGCGACAATTCAGTCCCATGTGTCACTAAGTCTAGTAAAGATGAAATGAATACCAATACCTGCGTTTCAAAAGAATTATCAATAGATTCTCCGGAAAAAACTAGCCATGTAATTAAGAAAGCTTTGACGTTATTCCCAAAGTTGTCTAAAGCTTATACATTAAGTGGTGATTCGGCGAAAATAAAATTGTCAACGTATCATACTCATTTTAAAAGCTCCCTTGATAATTCGCAGTTAGCAAAATTTTTTGAATTTTATCAAACTTTAAATTTACACCAAATTCAGAATGACATATCAAAGCTATCATCAGCATTGCATGAAATATGTACTATTTTAAAAATTAACAAGCAAGAGTCTGTTGTAAAGACTGTAGATGATGCCAATTATGGTGTCGTTATTACACTCACAACTAATCCTGAATTTTCGGACGTTGCAGTAGCTGATAACTTTCTTGAGGCGAGGCTTAACGTCCATTATCGTATGATACGAACTATTTTCTATCTGTTAATATAACTAAAATTCGGTGCTTCTCAAAGTCTTCTTTAAATTATTTATATATAAAATGAATGAAATATTGTTGCAATTTTTTTAATGATTTTAAGACTTTTATTTCATATGTCTATTAGTAAGTGCAAATAAGCTAATTTTTAGGCGAATTTACAAACTAATAAAGACATTGGAAATTAAAAGTCTTATTTGAACTGGATTCAGACATTAAAATTATGTAATACAACTTCAGTGAGGCATGAGATTATTTGCCACACAACATTTTATGATACTTGACTGAATAGTTTTTAGCTAGGCTTTGAACCCTAAATAAATAGAGGAATTTTCTTCCAATAATTTTTATTTATTTCTTATAATGACGTTTATTTGATTTTTTATTTTAAACAACAGAAATGAAACGTAGATTTTATTTCTAAAACGTCGGTAGAAAAATAATTATTAACTATTTCTAAACTGAAGCCTCTAAATATTTTATTATTATTATTATTATTATTATTATTATTATTATTATTATTATTATTATTATTATCATTTCAAAAATTTACAAATGTCTGCCTGATCAAATCGTTTAAAATTAGTTTTCTGCCGACGTTTCGCAAACGTTTCAGTTTGCATCTTCAGGACTAGGCTTTTTCGATATAATTATCGCAGGAGCCTAGCTCTGAAGATGCAGACTGAAACGTTTGCGAAACTTCGGCAAAAAACTAATTTTAAACGCAGTTATTATCTAGAAATAAACAAATTATAATTATTATCATAACTACAATAATTAATTACTGATTATTTCTCCACGATTCGTAGTATTAATAATTAATATTGACACTTTGAATCTGCATCATTTTTAAGTTATGGTTATTACCTGAAATTTATTAACAATAATGATTGATTATATGAAAAAATCAATCGATTTTTAAATTAACTTGAACATGTAAAGTTATTTGCACTCCACTGTCACAAAATAGTATTTTTCTTACCTGGGGCAGGAAAATAAGAAATGTCTCAGATTACATGTAATTGTTGACCGAGGCGAAGCCGAGGTCGACAAACATGTGATCTGAGGCTTTCTTATTTCCTGCCCGTGGTGAGAATACTATTTTTCTCCCCTCCGTGCGGGAAGCGGCCATTTTAGAAAAAACTTTTATTATCATTTGACTCTGTTTTATTTACAACGATGTAAGTTTTTTAAATTAAAAAAATTAAATTAAGCTATTAGTTTAAGTTTGCAGCGATAAAAATAATGTTATTTTTATTTTTTTGACAATTTTTTATTACTTTTAATTACTGAGGCCATAGATAGATTTTTTTATGTCACTTGTATTGAAATTTCAAGTTTCAATGTTTTTTCAGCCAATCGAAAGAAAACAATTTTGTTTTACATTTCTTTATTTTGAGTTTCAAAAAAACTAAATCAAGTTTGAAATATAATTATTAATTGGCTTCTTTCGACTGGCTAAAAAGGCATTAAACCTTGAAGCTTCAATACAAGGAATTCATTTAAATAATGTAACGATGGAAAGGGGAGAAAAAGATGATTTCAGGTTGTGGATGATTAAATTCATCTGTAATTTAAAATCATCTTATTTCATCTCTTACCTGATAATACAAATATATTATTAATTACAAAGCAAAAAGTTAATTATGATATAAATTTGAATTAGATATAACGAGAGATTCTTTATAATTTTTATTACTTATAATATTATGTTTTATAAGAGATTTATATCTACTTCCATAATCATTAGTACGAGAATAGGTAAAAATTCTTGTACTTTAATATAACTAAGCCAAAACGGCAGTAATGGTTATTAAAATTTTAATTTTTTAAAAACATTGTTAATATACTCGTAAAATTTCTTCAAAGTATCTTTAGTGTGGTGTTGTTGATAATAAGGTATCAAAGACTGTAAAAAAAAAATTATTTTCCAATGTGACTTCTACTAGTTTTTGAAAAAAGATATTTTCATTTTTTTTCTAGCTAAATAAATTATAATTTTTTTTACTTATCAATCTTTGATACTTGCTAAAATGTATTTATGTCACGGAATTATGTATTTTTTATTAATTGCACTTAAGAATTAAACCTACTTGGAAAGCCGAAAAAAATGATTTTTTAATCATTTTTTCAAAGTTTTCGCCCTTAGCCCCATTAAAGTGCTAACGCTCAAAGATGGCTTTACAAATATGCGTATAGTTATGAAAATACTTGTCCTATTAACATTAAATTGTATATGTACTTAAATGTGTGCACATTACAAAAATAAAATTTAAAAAAATTGATTTTTTCTTTCACAATTCCAAGTGTGTATAAGTTTTTGAAAGTGTCGCAAATATTTAATGTTTACATAAAAAATTATGTATTAATAAAAATTGCCTTTAATAAATTAATACAATTGTCAGGCTTAAACAATCTGAGATTGAGTATTTTTTATAAATGTTTCTTAAACTTATTTTCATTAATATGAATTTAAAGAAAAGATATATGATATACTGATGGTGATTGAATTGAAGTTATTATTCACACTCAATAATATATAATGAACGACGAATTTACATTATTATACATGGTATTAAAAAATGACGAAAAAATAAATGTATAAAAAATATAAAATACTGTAACGTTATTAGTTAATAAAATATAATACTGTTTACTAAAATTTTTAATCGTTTAGTTATTCAAAAATCTATTTAATAAATAATTTATAAGATACAATTATATAAGTAGTAGCTTGGTTGTATAAATGGTGAGTGTAATTTAAAAAACTAAATTATATAATTTTTTCAGATCAATTAAAAAAAAATTATGCTACTGAAATTAGCAAACATCTGATAATTCTTGGAATTTTTATAAGCAGTTAATTATTATAAAAAATTTATTTTAAAAAAATCGCCCGTTTAATTTTTTTACATGTCTACATGTTGAATTTTTTTTGCCAAAATTTATAAAACTGAAGTCAACAGACATTAAAAATTTTTCTTAGAATTTTATAACAATTAAATTATTATAAAAAAATTAATTAAAAAGTTCCACGTGTGAAAATTAATAAAAACTATAAGTGAAAAATTTTAGAAACATTTTTTTATTGATATTGATTTTTTGTAAGAATTAAAAAAAAATTGACAGCTGTCAGCTGACTTCAGTATTATCAAAATTTAATTATTAGAAAAATTTATAAAAATTTTAGATGTCTGTTGAATTCATTGTCATAAAAAAATTGTTTTGTGTTTTTATAGATATTTGCTGTTTATTTTTTTTCTATTTTCCCGCTAACCAATTAATTTTTTATTTGAATTTCAAGTTTTGCTTATCCACTGTTGGTAACAGAGAAAATTTATTTATTGCCGCTCGAGTAAATTGAAGTAAGTAACACAACGAAAGAAACTATTAAAAATAACCAAACTTCTCAAGTATCTAATGTTTTCTGTTTCTGTTTGCGCGAAAACGTGTAAGACTTAGTTTTTATTCTATAAATACACAGTGTAAGTGAAATAAAAATAAATATATACACAATAATAGTAATTAAAAAAAAATAAAAAATACTTAAAATAATGAAGTCGAAATAAGTAAATACTAAATTAACAATTAAATTTTACCTGTAACTATGGCTGAAATAGCAAATTCAACTGTATTTACAAACGGAGTAACATGTAATACCACCGATTTGCTTCAACGTGCATTCCAGGAAGTTATAAATGATGATGACCATGAATTTGTAACATTTTTAACAGACGGCGACGCGTCGCACACAATTCATCTCACTCAGGCCCAGGCCGCGGAACTTAATTTAAATTTCGAAGTTGACTCTTGTGCTAATGATCAACCCAATGAATTGTCTTACCAGTCTCAACAACAACAACAACAACAACAGTGTCAAACCAATACGCTCAATGGCTACCACAATACCCAGAGTCAGAGTAAGTTTGATTCTGCTTCACCAGGTACACCTGAAACGATTGACTACGAGACGGCCAGGTGGTCGATCGACGACAAATTGGACGGACATGATGCCGACACCGCCAGCAAACCAATCACCATCGATGACATCACCAGCTCCAGTGCTAAAACAATTGATTTTGAGCCCAATACCCGATCCAACGTTCAGGCATTATTTATTCATTCAGATTCTTCCAAAAAAGCGGGCCTTAGTAATAATATTTCCTCGAATTTCAACGAAATCCAATTGGCTATTAATGGTAAAAATATTCAGCAGAATTTTTCTACAGCAGCATTGTCTTCGTCTTCACCTCAAGTACTTCAGAAGCTGCCGGTATATCTGCCCTCGTCGCAATTTATTATAAAACCGGCACAAACTATTTTGAAAACAAGTAAAAGTATACAACTTATTAGTAATAGTAAATTAATTAATGGTAATAATGGAAGTCAGCATCAAAACCAGAATTCAGTTTTACTTCCCAAGGTATCAACTCTGCTGAATTCTGTTAATTCTCATGTATTCAAAGGTACATCTGTTGCATCCCAAGTTGTTCATGGCAACTCCTTATCAGCACAGTTATTAACTCCTCAAATAATCACCTGTGAGTCATCAAATCAGCGAGTAACAAACACTAATACTGGTGGTAATACCAGTGGTCAGTGTAATACTAGTAATAACAATAATATTAGTATTATCAATAATAAAAACGGTAATTTAATAGCCAATGGCGTGAGGTCACAGAGTCTAGGTAATACTCAGCAAATAAGGCTGTTACCACGTGTAACTGGTGCTATTCAAGAAACCAATGCTGGACAATTTACTGCAGTTGTTAATAAAACAGCAGCAATTAATGAGTCAGTAAATGGAAAAATGACTGCTGGTAGTTTAATTGGAGGTAAAATATCTACAGGAGTTATTTCGTCAAAGACCGCGCAATTTACCCCGCGAATGGTGACGGCCAGTATTGGCAAGCTGGCAACCACGGCGACCAAGGTACCAATTAATTCTTTAAAATCATCGATAACGTTTCCAGCTGGTACGACGATAAGGCCGCAGAATTTTCGCTCTGTTAATGCTGGATTGATTCAACGAAATGGAACATCGGTGTCAACTTCAGTGTCCATACTCAAGCCTCAGCCTAAGGTGGTTCCCAAGCAAAATTTGGGAGTTGGTTCACCAATTTCAGCAGTACTGAATGGTGCTAGTACCGGAGTTGGTAGCTTACAGAAAATTGTCAAAGTAGCACCGCAGAGTCTATCGATGGATACTGTTAAACGCGTGCAGAGCAACGAAGCCAAGAGATCCAGTGATTTGGTGATGAATAAAATGGATGTTAAGAAGCCAAAAACTGTGGGAATGCTTTCTTCAGGAACTGCTGGACAGACTAATTTAGCTAAGCCATTGGGGTCCAATGAAAATCCTATTCAAATTGTTCAACAAGGACATACTTTTCATAGGTAATTTATTATTATTAATCATTGATTAACTTTTTAATATTATTTTAATTCAATTTACCAAATTGTCGTTATTTTACAGCTCACAAAAATTAACGCAGTCACAACTGAAACAAATTGCTCATGTATTACAACAACGAAGTCAAGAGTCGTCAATTCCAAATGAAAAAATAGTCTATCGGTTAGTAATAAATAAAAACAAAATCACCAATCTTGATAAATTTTGTTTTTAATATTAAATTTACGTATTTTAGAGTTGTATTCCCAGAAGAATTAGATCTAAGGATCAGAAATCCAATGAATCTATTAAAATCTCGTGGTGGCAAGCGCGGTAGGCCGAAGAAGAAACCAACCAAGTCTATGATAGTAGAAGACGAATCCGAAGAGGCTAAGGTACAATATTTAATACTTAAAAATTGTAAAAATAAATTTCTTAAGTCTAGAAGCATGAATTTCAGGTAATTTTTTGAAGTGCCGTAAAAAAAAGGCAATCAATATTTTTACCATTCATTTTTGTTATAAGTTATTTATCAACATTTCAAGAATACTGAAAAAAATAAAAAAAGTTGAACATTCAAAAAATTAGCAACTGATGAAGTGGGGTGCGGGGGGGGGGTCTCTCAAAAAATTGGCTCGTGACCATACCCACGATTCCAACCCTCCTAGCAATCCGTAATGAAAAAATAAAAAAGATATATTTTTAAAAAATTCGAAAATGTAAAAAAAAAAGTAGTAAAAAAAAATATTTTTTTTTTAAGGCAGTCGCCTTTTTGTGAAAAAATTTTTTTTTAACTTTTCCCTAGTTTATGCCATAGCCACATTACTCTAGATTAATAATCTTTTTGAATTTTTGATTTCGGATTGCTAGGAGATTTGGAATCGTGGGCATGGTCACGGGCCAATTTTTTGAGACCCCCCCCCACCCCACTTCATCAGTTGCTAATTTTTTAAATTTTCAACTTTTTTTATTTTTTTCTGTATTCTTGTAATGTTAATAAATAACTTATAAAAAAAATGGATACTAAAAATATTGATTGCCTTTTTTTGCAGTACTTGAAAAAATTACCTGAAATTCATGCTTTTAGGCTAGAATACCCCCTTAAAAGAAAAAAAAAACAATCTTTAATTAAACTGTTTAATAATATAATTCTTCATTTAAATAATTAAGGACGAACGAAAGAAACACGTAGCTCGAACACGCTCTGGCCGTTTATCACGGCCGCCGAAGCATATCGTGCGTGACTACAAACATCTTCACCATCTAGATTTCATGGAGCCTGATCTGGATGACTCTGACGGCGGGTACAGCGATTACTACGTCAACAACGACAAGATCGACTCTGAAGAAGCTGCTAAGGACTTACTGACAGGCTATGAAGGTCCTAAGCGTAAAATATCCGATCACTTTCGTTGTCCGACATGTAATAAAATATATTTAGGACGCTCGCGGATGACCAAACACTTCGAACTGTACCCTGATCATGGGAGTCCTGATCAGTTACCACCAATGACGGCAGAGCCAGAACTAAAGCAGTCGCCACAGTACCCCCAAGACCAGTTTAAACGTAAGGGCAAGAGACGTGGACCCTGGGCCTACATTACTCCAGAAGCTAAATCAGAAAGACGGCAGATTAAATTAAAGGAAGCTTTAGTCGCCTGTGACACTGAAGAGATACTTAAAATAGCAGCTAAGCCTGTTCTTAATGCACAATCATTGTTTGATCTCATGGTTATAAAATCGGATAATTGTTTGAAAACGTTTCTCAGCGAATTGAAGACTTTAGTTGATACAGCGCGTGAGAGAGTCAGCACAATGTTGTCTCCGGAGAATGATGACGAAGATAAAGATGAACACGTTCTTGAATTGAACGATGATTTGCTTTGTGATACCCTGGGACTAGTTCCCGGCTATTACAACGTTAATGAGGAAATATTCAAAAGTTCAAATCAGTTTTACAACACATCATTCACAACATCTACGGACGAAGAACCACCGTCGAAATTGTCTAAAATTGACAACGACGATGGAAAAGAAAATATCGATAAGCGTCTGAATCACTTTGGTGATAACAATATCAATTTAAACGTAAATGTTTCTAATTTTTTGAACGATCGAAAGTTTGAATCCGTCAATGTAAACTGTCCAGAAGTTCTTACTGCGTTAACGCTGATGCCTAGGAACAGCAGTCCAATCAATTCAACAGACAGTTTAAGCAAATCGCACAGTAATTTGTCGACAAAATTACTTATCTCTAATCCAGAGATTCAAAGCCAGATTTTAGACAATCCTGGGTTCCAGAAAATTCAGATAAACACTTCAAAACATACGTTCAAAAAATTAGAACCTGCTCAAGAAGGATTTACAAAGTTAAATGGCAGCAAATTGGATATAACCAATAGTCAATCATCTTTATCATCGCTCTCTTCTTTGTCGACGTCTTCGTCTACATCGTCAGAGTTTACGAATACGAAATTGAACGATAATAATTATGAACAGAATAAGATAGATAATTGTTTAACGCAGACGTTTATTAAATTAGAGCCAATGCAGCAGATTGGTTTTGTTAAATTAGAAAACGGCACTGTTGGTACTTATCAACAAAAAAATTCTACACAGAGTTTTAAGTTGCAAGTTAATAATAATAGTTATACTGATAATACGGAGCAGAGTAACAGTTGTAATGATACGCAGACATTTACAAAAGGTTTTCAAAAAATAATACCTAAAATAATTGCAGTATCGTCTACTGCGAGCGATAATTCTAGCAATCAATGTAATAAAACGGAGGCATTTAATAGCGGTAATGACAGTAACAAAGATATACTTTGTAAATTATCAAATAACTTGCAGACGATTATGAATGAGAGTGTTGTACCGATAATTACAAGTAATTGTGATGCTAATTTGTTTGTTAGTGCTGATAATTTAGATATTACTAAGATGACAAACTACGATTTAGATTTACTGACTAGTAATAGCGTTATTGATAAAAATTTGATGATGGATGAAAAATTAGTTGAACAGTTGCAGCTCGTTGATCAAACGCGTCTTGTTGATGAGCTGGTGTCCGAAAGACTCAAAAATATAATGCCAGATAATATTTTAGATAGTAATTTAATAAGCAGCAATACTGCTAATTTGGACACTGAGCTTGATTTCGAAGCGCTGAGTGAAGAGTTCAACAGAAATACTAGAAGCTGATTTAAATATTATTACCTCGAACACATATTTAATATTTTTTTATACTGTGTACTGCATATCTTTAAACTGTACTTTGTATGTCCAACATATAATTTATTATTACACAAGAATGTTTTATTGTCTTCAGTATAAGCAAATAAGTATCTCATGCATTCGCAATATCAGTAATCATATTTATATAAAAAGAAAAATAACAAGTACGTAAGCATTTATTTAAAAAAAATATTTTTTATTGACCACATATATATTTTTCAATAACTATTATATTTAACTAAGTCGTTAGTAGAAGTATAAAATGTTTGACTATGTAAAATATTTGTCTAAGTCGTGAATGTACATTAATATGATTAATATTATTGATGATTGAGGCAAATTTGATTCAGCGCATTAGTGGTGTCTGTCGATTTTTACTAAACTAGTCTTTTTTTTGTTAATGTGCTAGTGAGTAACAAATTAATTAATTAACGTAAAATTATTCATTTATGAGGCACAGTTTTAATATCAATTTTTTTTATTGATATTTTCGGATCTCAGATTAGATTGCATTTAAAAAAAAAAAATACTGTTTATGGTGAAATTTAATTTGGGACAATATTTATTTTGTGTATATATTTATTTGTATACTTTATCATTATTATAAGTACAACAATAAAAATATAAGTAAATATATTTTTGAATTATAAAGAAATTTTATATTTATGAGATGAAAGTACAGCTTGTATTTTTATTGCTCTTCTTGGTTTGGTGTAAAATTAATTGAGTTGAAAATACTTAAAGTAGACGAGATTTAGATTTAGAATGAACAGTTAAGATAACAAAAAAGAAAATTAAAACGCTGTACATAAATTATTTGAAATCAGTATCACTTTAAACGAGATCTTCAGTTATTATTTATATCTCAATATATACTTATCAATATATAAATTAATAAAAGGCCTCAATATATGATTTAAAAAAAATATATAAATATTGTAGACATATTTTCGTACAAAGAAAATATTCCATCCATGCAATAAATATCATGGTTTTAACAATAAGTCATTTGTAAATATTTAATGATCTAAAGTAGAAAAAAAAAAAAAGAAAACGCTCAATGTTTAAAAAATCTGAAGCTAATTAAACTGCTTACAGATTTAATGTCAATTCCAGTTAAATAAAAATAACTCCATACAAGTGTTATAATTATCATTGCTGTCAAGATTAGATAATAAAGAAAAGTTCGTTTTAATTTTATTAATATTTTTATTTAATTGTAACCGCTTGATAGTTACTCTTATTGTTACCTATGGCCTGTTTCAACGAGCAAAGACTCCAGAGTTACATGTAAATTATGAGGAATCATTGGTTGATGTACCCAGGCTGCCAGGTGAAGCATCTTCCAGGAATCACTGGAACCATGCGCAACGTTTTTCAGAATTTTCCTCTTCAATTTTGCTTCCTCTCTGTAAGCTTCATGAATCTGCTCTACCGCTTTCACTGATTGAATGATTAATTTAATGATTTTTCATTTTTTATAAAGAATTAATCCATTTTATTTATTAGTCTAAATATTTAATTAATAGAAAAATATTTACCAAAATGTTCGGCTCTCCAAGTTACGAACAATTTATCCTGGTTTGTTTGTAATAAGGTTACTGTTTTTATTTGGCTTACAGCGCGATTCAATTTTTCGACTATTGAATCCTAGAATTAAATTAAAAGAAAAAATGTAGATGTTCATTTATTTATTACTAAGGTACTTATTTTATTGGTTTACTTAAAATACATTTTCTATAAATTAATAATTAATAGTCGTGTTTTTATTTGGTAATTGCCACTTAATTTCAACTTTCTTTAATTTATATAATGATTAAATTATTATGTCGTCAACTTTACTCCAATAAATTTATAAATTGAACAAGAAATCAGATTTTTTATATATTGCTCATGACTTTCGTAAATAACGTTCATTAATTAGATGTTTTATCACAGATATTTTTAATTAGAGGACATTAATTAATACTCAGTAAAATAGATTGAGTGGACTTGACACCGAATAAATATATAACATTACAAATAGAATTATGATTACTCACTTTAAATAAAGATATTCTAAATAAACTAGTAACACTAGCATTAGAATTTCCTGTTTCAAATTACATATTTATTTTTTAATAACAAGGAAGTAAGACTTAATTATAAAATTAATTTTATTTATTCTTCCGATCATATATAGTAAGAAATAAAAATTTCATTGTATACCAAAATAAAAAATTCGTATGGTCACTGATTTGATAAAGGAATTATGAAAAATAAAAAAAAAATTACCAATTGATCAACGTCCTCTTCCAACTGGTCACAAAGATCCTGAAGACCTTCTGAAAATGAATCATCAGTTTTCATTGCTGTTATTGACTTTATTATTGACAATCCATGCAAATGAATGCCGTTCCATTTTTGGATATCTCCATGGATATCAGCGGCCAAGTCCTTGACAATCCTCGAATTTCCTGTTAAATTTTTCTGCGTTGCTTTTGGTGAAGCTGGAAAATCTTATCGTTACTTTCTTTCTCGTAAAAATTAGCTCACGTCATAAATAAATAGTTTTATTTTTATGATCCTTCAGTTATAATACTAAAGTTAGCCGACGTTTTTAATTTTTTGATTATTTTTCATTTATTAAATTAGAACTAAAAAATATTTTTAAAAAATTGCACTTATAATTTTTCAAGTTTTTTTACCAATGAAAATTTTTTTTTATTTTTTTGTAATGATTTTTTCAATAAAAAAAATTCTAAAAACTTTTAAATGTCGGCTAACTTAATTTTCATCCTTCAGTTAGGAAACATTTGATAATTTTAAATGTCAAAATTGATAATTTTTTTTTAACAAGTTCTATTGAAAAACTAAAAAACCGTCATGTAAGGTAAATTACCCAGTAGCTGCTCACTCCATGTGTTTTTATATCTGCATTTGTAAATATAGATCTACAAATACATGGAGTGAGCAGGTACTGGTTCCTGAGCAGTTACTGGGTACTTTACCTAATACTATTTTTGGGATCATAAAATTTTTAATTAAAAAAACTTACTGATAACTCGTGAAAATTGTTCCATTAATATTTTTTTATAGTATATCCACAGTTATGTATTATTAAATTTTTTTTAACGTTCGAAGGCTTATATTTTTCAAAAAATTATTACTATATTGAATGATTAATGTCAATTTATGATTTATTTTTTTTATTTATCATTTAAATAAAAAATTGCACTAATTATTATTAATATAAACAATAAATAAACTGTAATAAAGACCGACAACTTGTAGGTGACAACAATTAAAATTACACATTTTGATAGGTTAGGTTCAATTGAAGTCTCGCTGTTTCGGCTACATGTGAAATTCTTTTTATGTTTAAAAAAATTTCCTAAAACACTGTGTACCTAATGTATATTTAAAAATTTAATTTTGAATAAATTTATTTATTAAAGAATCTAGAATTGAAAATAAATGAAATAAAACAACTAACATGATGTTAGATTTAAAATTTCTGAATTTTAGAAAATATTTTGGGTTGCGGTCAACCAGTCAGATCGACAGCATTCAGAATTATCAAAACTTTAGAAAATTTAAAATTCCGCTACATTCAAAGTTTATAAAATACATTAACTTAAATAGAATACCAGCCGAAAAACAATTTTGTAAATTATAAAACACCGAGCTATCGAATATCGAGGGTTTTCTAACGCAACCACGTATCTCGATTTTTGAAGATGAAAAGGTTCAACTGAAAAATTAATAATTAATTATAAACGCGTTACTGAAAAAAAATATTAACCAGATTAATAATAAATGCGATAGTATTTTTAAAAAATACAATTGATAAATATTGTTTTTAGATGAATGTTAATTTTTTATACGCTATTTTTCACCTCGTCTCCAAAATCGTCATTTTTGAGATACGAGATTGCGTCAGAAAACCATCGATATAGGTATATAAACATAAATCTTATATTCCTCAAGAGTTAAAATTAATTTAATTTAAAAAAAAGTTCGTTCCGACGTATATTCATGCGAATTATACTCATCCATATGAATAATGATTCGGCCGAAAAATTACTCATCCAAATAACTATATAAATTTTTATTCACATTTTTCGGCTAAATGAGTGTTCGTCTGTTCAATCATTTTGGCGTAAAAATTTTCGTTGTTATGTTTTTTAATTTTTTGAGACTTTGTGACTTTGAAAGATTCTATTAATATAGCTTTTCTTTATTCAAGTTTATATTTTTCGGACTTTTAAATTTTGTAAAATTAATTATTTTTATTTATATTTTATATTTACTTTCTAAGTTCTAGTAATTTATTAATTCGGAATGTTGTCAATTTGACTAGTTGACTGCAACCCAAAATATTCAGTACTGTTCAAATTTGAGCGAATTTAATTTTTTCCATAAAATAGCACTTTAAATTATTATTCAAAATTATGTTTTTATTTTAAGAACATCTGAAAATTATTTTTTTATAATTAATTATCAGATAAGAACAAACAATTTGTTAAAGAGATTTTTTTTATGATAAAACTTTATTCTTTGTAGATTTAAAATTTTCTTAATTGAAGAAATTAAATTTCCTTAGGTAATTGAAAAGTATTTGAAGCTCTAAGATTTTATTTTTTAGATTTTTCAGCCACAAATTTTTAGAGTAACGGGTTCTCACCTAGTCTTAACAGGTAAGTAGCGCGGAAGAAAAATTTTACAATTTTATTTGCATTTTTTTTAATCGATAAACTTAAATAAATTTTTCACCATGTTTACGTCAAAATTTTGAATTTTTTCCCTGTTTTACAGAAAAAAAGTACTTTTTTACTCTAAGTCAGATATACCGACGTAAGTAAGTGATGCAGAAAAAAATCAAAGGATGGCCTGCAGGGTCAGTATTTCTTTCCTTATGAAGTTTCTCGATAAATCGGTAATTTTTAATTTATGACGCCTTAAACAATTATATGGTTAATAAAAATTGTTTGCATCACATTTGAAGAACAAAAATTTAATTTTTTATGTTCCTAGACTTGAAAAACGAAGAAAAATTAGATAAATCATGGATATAAAAATTTACAGGGTTTTTTTTCTTTTGCGGATGAGAAATTATTTTAGATATTAATTTTTAATTTAGTAATCAAACAATAATATAATTTTTAATCACTATATTTGAGAAAAATAAAAATTGTGTCCACACAAAAGGATTTCTTTACTCAAAAATTAGTTAAAATCTACAATTGAAATTGTATAATTAACATATATTAATTTTTTGACGGAAGAATATCAATATTTGTTTTTATCATTATAAATGAACAAACAAATAGCTTCACTTGAATTAAATAATAATTATTTTTCCATTTCATTTCATATATTTATTTATTATGATACAATCTTTAGTACATTCAACTGAAGTTCAATAAAAATTTACAAAGTAAGAAGCAGAGAGTAAAAAAAAAAGATATGAATTAACAGACTAATTAAAAATAAATTAATCGTAGCCCAAAGAAATATTCACTTATTTGAAAATGTGCCTCCGAAAAATTCGCTCCTATAGCTTCGATTAATTTATTTTTAATTAATCTGTTAATTTTTTTTACTCTTTGCTTTTTACTTTGTAAATTTCTATTGAACTTCAGCTGAATCTACTAAAGATTGTATCCTAATAAATAAATGGCTACCCCTCTTTATATCTCAGAAATAACATCTCGAGACAATAATATCTCAACCGAATTTTTATGCCGATTTTATGCTCGAAAATAGGCCAACACAAACCCCTGTAATCGTGTTGCGCCCTTTTAACATGGTTTTTGGGTGTGTTTATGCTCAAAAATAGGCCAAAACACACTAGATATTATTGTCTGAGATATGATTGTCGAGATATATTTACCAAGATATTAAAGACTGAGAAATTATGAGGGGTCACCATTTTTTTGATATCGGTGAATTATCGATTCCGAGGATTTGTCTTCGGGTATGGTGGTACTGCATTTTAGATGTGCTTTATATCAGCGAAGTATAAAAATAAAAATTATTTTAATCGATCCCATCAATCCTTCAGACAAGAAAAAAATCTTCTTGTGTCATGAACATAAATTCTTAGTAAGTATAATTTTTTTTTCTCAGTTTATCTTTAGGCGGAGCTCTAAATCGAGCTTACTTTAACAAAATTTTGATAAAACTAATGAACCTCAGAATGAAAATCACAATTCTAAAGACAATTAATGATATAGTTATAAGTTAAATAACAGGTTTGAACATTTTTTGTATAAAAAGCCGTATAATGTCAACCTGGAGTTTATTAAAAGGTTTGCGTGCGAAAAAAAAAAGTTAATCAGAGAAAACGTTAGTTACTTCACATTGTGCATTGTATTGCTTTTGTTTGGAGAACGGTGATGTGTAAGAGAACAAGGTCACTTGGGTTTACTGCTGGCTGTACTGGGTAGTCAGTGAACGAGTTGAGGATCTCGTGGTACTCACTGTTGACCGGTGCTACAGTTACATTTATCATTTCGTTCATGCAATTTATTATAAAAAGTCGTTAATAATAATCGTTTTTGACGATTAATTAACTATTTATTCTTTCACAAATCAAATCATTCATAAATACAATAACTTATTAATAATTATAATTATAATAATAATAATAATAATAAATTAATTGTTTCACAGATAAGGTATCAGCAAATTAAAGAAATGTCATTCAGTCTAATAAAGTGAAAAAGTGAAGAAATAAAAAACTAGAGGTGACAAAATTTTATATTTGATATTCAAAATATAAAATAAAGCTTATGTTGAAGTAAATCTGGAATTCAACCATCAAGTTTGGCCAATATTTGTAACACGTATGTCTGGTCAATTTTCCATAAATAAATTTTAAATATCTTCACTAAAAGTGTGTGTACTTTTAAATATCTCACTTTTACAGTTTAAGTGTGAATAACGCTGGTTTTTATGTAACAACTTTTAGTACATTAACGCTAAAAGTTAAGTTATTAATTCACTGATGTGAAATATATTTAAATACTTAGTAATAATTTATTAAGACAAGTGTGTGACGTAACTAGAGTGATAAACGTTTTTGCTGTAAATGTTTTTTAGTTTGCCATCTGATAAAAAATATACACACGTATGGTATGTGTATACATAAGTACATAATATAGTTAATATATATATATATATATATATATATATATATATAATATAATATAAGCATATTAATACATGAAGAAATATTAAATGTGTATCTGATATTGAATCAGTTATAGCTGTGCTAGCTGATAAAAACGTTTTAGATAATAAATTTTTCAACACAATAGACTTTAAAATGAAGATGGAGGTATGTATTTATCTATTTTTAATTTCTGACATATATTTAATATACTAATTACTAATTATGGTTATTAATATTATTTTGATTATTCAAATGATATTTCTTCTTGTGATAATGTAGATAGTAATTGATACTCGATAATTTTTTTATTTAAATAAACTAATTAAATGATTAGAAAATTTTAATTTTAAGTCACGGTAAATTCAAATATCTTCAAGCGCATTTTTTAAATAACTTTACTTTACTTATCGGAGTATGTTAATTGTTGCAAAAATAAAAATAGTGTAGTATCGGTTATTTTTAGTGTTATTGTAAGTCGTAAATATTGGAAGAAATATTTTATTTGTAAAGTGAAAAACATTGAGCACTCTCGCATCGTAAATCATTTTAATCACTGTTCTAAGTTCTATTGCATTAATATGCTATGAAAAAAAAAATATATATAAAGCAGACAGTTTTTTTTTCAAAAAAAATTTCTGTATAAAATTCATTCGACAATAATAATTCGTGAATGTATAATATTTGTGAATGATTATTTTTTATGTATATTGAATTTGTAAAAATTATATTACATTTAAATATTTACTTTAAATTGAAAAAATAAAAGATATTGATTTTTCAACATTTATATACTTCATTCGAGTAAAAAACTTAAGTTAGTTGTACTTGAAGTTCTCCTTCAGTTAACATTTAAGAAGAAATATTAAAATTGAAAATTTTATCTTTTTTTACATAAAAATTTCTGTTGTAATCTTTAAAACTTCAATTATTTTTTTTTTACAAAGTGAAAAATAATAATAAAAAAAGTGTTTTTTGTTGTTAAATAAAACGTTTGAAGACTTTCATATATTAAAAAAAAATTGTTATTGTAAAATATCATAAAAAATTCATACTGTCACATAACTAATACGTCAAAGTCCGACATGTGCAATTAGTTGAGAAATAAATGATTTGTGTTATTGCAAATGTGTTTTTTTTTTTTAAATTTCAGTATTTAAAGGGGGTCTAGAATACAAGGTTCTTGTGCTCCTGATGCGCGACCAAGAATTACGAGCGTTGAACCGACGTACATAATAAATAGTTCCAGAGTCCGTGGTTTATTGCTTATAAATTATAAAATATCTATAAATAATATTATATGTTTATAGATATATAAAAAAATTTTAACAATCCACGCGGAAGAAATTACAAGTCAATAAATTAAAGAATTTACGTCATTAAATTATTTATAAACTTAATCATACTTTCCGTAATCTTATCACTTATTTTGAACAGCAATTTAAAATTTCAGCGTAACAAATAATTCTCAAATTAACTTATAAGTTATAATATTAAATTTATATAAGTATATTTTCATTATATCGAATTCAATACGATTTCATTCTCGATAGTGCCTATAATTGGATGACTTTCACCGGTTTTATCTCGAAAAAGAATAAAAAAAAAATCAAGTTTGGAAAATATATGTTACGAGGCTTCGAAGAAGAGTTTTATACTTTCGGCGGGTTTTTAAAATTAGTGAGGTAAAAATCGAGGCGAACAGATGGCTGTTACATTATAACACATACCTATATATTTATGAATTTATTTAATGTGTGTATGTGTGTATATTGTATGGTGTATGGTGTATGACATGTGTTTTTAGTGTATGTATTCGTGTATGTAGAAAGAGTGTCTGGCCCATTTCAGTTGGGAAGGTAACAGGCTGAGTTACAGTTAGTTGGAGAGCGCGCTTCGTCGCATCTACACCACCGGCATTCCTGGACTCCACTGGCCCGCGTCTTAGTCTATATAGTTTACTTTTTTATAAATAAATACCATCATTTAGACTCAAAACGTCGCTCAAAGGTTTTTACCACTTTTATTTATTATTTCCACGTACGATTGTAATTAATATTAATATTTATCATCTTCATCATCATCATCATCATCATCATCAATATTATTGTTATTAGTATTATTTTTATTATTATCATCATCATCATTGGGCTTAGTCTTCAGCTATCGATTATCGATTATTGATTGGAGTTTTTGCTTAATCTTTTAAGTCTTCATTAAATTTTTGCTTTACTTCCAGTGGTGAGTCATTATAAGTGTCCGCGGTGGAATTTTGTCCGCGTGAGCATCATATTGCTTCCGCGAAATTAGTATCGGTGTAAGCTTGACGGAGATGAGGTTAAAGAGTTTGTGATCAACTAATTGCAATAGCAATAGTCCACAGAAATTGAGAAGTTATAAAACTAATTGGAAATTTATAAAAAAGTTAATTTTGAAATATTTTGGTAACGGATATTTAAAATTCTTGTGGAATACTAACGACGGTTTGAATTTTTTTTTTTTAAATAAATGTAAATTAAGTTAAAGTTGAAATGAGTGTTAATTTAGTAAACACTTATTTTTAAAATGTAAAAAAAAAAATTTACAATATTGAAGTTTGAAGAAAATTGTTCATGTTCAGATGACATTAAAGTTAGCAGTCACTTGATGATTTTTGTATTTTATTTAATATACAAATTTTTTCTGAAAAATTATTTTAAAAAAATTGCATTTTTAATTTTTTAAAATTTCTACATGTCAATTTTTTTTTCTCATTTTTTTTTGCCATAATTTATTTGTTAAAAAAATTCTTTTTAATTATTTTATATCTGCTAAATTAATTATCATCATGTTTTTTTTTAAATTTTTTTTAAAATAATACTGAAATCAGCAGACACTATTTTTTTTTTAATTTTATTTAACAAATAAATTAACTCTATAAAATTATTTTAAAAACTTGCATTTATAATTTATTACAAATTTTTACTTGAGGAATTTTTTTAATAAATTTTTTTTGTGATTATTTATTCTAAAAAAAAAAAAAAAAACCCCGAAAATTATCAAATGTCTGTTAATTTCAGTGGCATCTTTTCAACTATGCTTTTAGATAATTTGTTGAAAAAATTGTGAAATTTTTGTAATTTTCTAAGTATGCAAATTTTTTGGTTATTAAAAATTTTTAAAAATATGTCTGGTACATTGGTATTTGTAAAGGAAGAAGAAATTTTATTTTTAAAAAGTAAAAATATTTTTCAATTTCTATGGGCTACAAGATTTCTCAAGAAGAAATAGTATAATTATTAAAAGTAATTTTTAATATTTAAATAAAAATAGCGAATAACTTTGGTTTAATTTTCTCAGGCTGATTTGAGGAAGGAGCAGTTAAAGAAGGCTACAGACAGGATACAGCGTGAAATTGAAGAGGTCACTGAGCGTGAGCACGAGTTGAGAAACGTCGGAAGTATTAAAACAACATCACACGAAACTGTTGATTCTAAGGTGATTGTTTTTATTTTTTATGGCTTATGTTTTTATTCCTATAACTATAATCATCACTATTACTACTTATATTACAATTTTATTTCTATGAATAGCAAGTATGGAGTAAAAGTGTAAATAGAAGAATAGTTGAGTTTAGCCAAGACCTGAGTCAGCTCATATCGGATGATAATTCATTTAAAAAGTTTCGTGATTTAGACAATTGACAATAGACGGATGTCTTGGCTAAATATTGACTATTTTCTCTGGAATGTCATGAGAGACTTTATTGTGAGAAGATTTTTTATGCTTAGGAAATATCTAGACTACGAAATATTGTGTACTTTGTCGTGGAGAAATACTTGTGAAAATACTTGTTGATACAAGTTAAGTTGAGTTGTTAACAAGAAGAAAACGAGATGAATGTATAAGAAGAACAAAAAATAGGAGCAAGAAAACCACAACATTGTTTATATATCTTATAATTTAATTATGTTTGATTAAACTTAGTAACTAGATAGTTAAGTTTATAGCCCGATTTATCGCCGTGCTTATTATTACAGTACCGCAGATAATAAATTTCTCAAATAAAAAGTTTAATTTCTCTGTAAATAGTCTTAGTTTTAACTATTATCAGATTATTTGGGTTCTATTTCGTTTGAAAATTAAATAGCCTGGAACACGTGGTAATAATAAATAATAGTTGGTATTTTTTTCTATCTTCGAGGTCACGTACTCGAACGACGTAATAATCTGATAGAGTATTTACAGACTTGCCTCAGGTGTCCTCATGTCAATTCTTTTCACGTAACATGACAAACTTACAGTATGTAGTGTATTGTACATAGTGTATCATATAGGTGTAGGTACTGTGAGTAATCTTTGTTAATATAATACATATTTGTATCACGTATTTAACGTCATTGTACTTGGATCCTTGTAATTTCCAATATCGTCATTATTGTCATTTTTCGTTGTTATTATTATAATGGTTTCATTTTTTTTTTATTTTTATATACAAACTTGAAGTAAATGAGGCCAAAAAGGGTGAATAATAATGTCAAATTATTATTTATTTAATACCATCAACAATTTACATTTTGTATGACAATAGTTTTTTATCTAAGAAAAATTAAATAAAATTTTATGATAAAAAATTTAAATTTAAATTCTGGTAAAATATTATAAATGATAAGAAATATTTCTTGTAGAAAATAAAATTTTGTATAAAAAATTTTTATCAATTTAGTGATATCGATAATCCTTTCGATAGAATTTATAATGAAAAATATTAACAGTAAATTTCAAACTGAAAAATTCGAATATAAAATTTTTAAAGATACAAATTGTAGAAGTTAATTTAAAAGAGCATTATATTGTAATCATAATCACTAATCAGTGTCTAATTAATGTAATTACTTCACCTGTTCTTGGGTAATAATTAATTCAGTCTGATAAGAGAAAAAAATCACCATATATCTATAGATAAATTTTTAATTAGTACCTCGGTCTTGGATGAAAGTTATCCTAATAATTGGTGAAAGTTTGATCCGATACATAATATAATCATAATAAATATATTTAAATAAATAAATGAATTCAACAGGTTCGGCGGATGCCACAAGCATTAATATCGGGAAAGTTAAAACGCACTACGTCGACACCTCAGATATTGGAGCCTTCAGTTACGCTGACATCAGTCAACAATAAAAATAGTATCAACAATCATCTCATACCCAAAATGACTAATGGAGTAATATCAGCACGTACAACGCAAACCCCGTTGAGGTTCGCTACCTCACCCAGTCAAAAAGGATTAATGCACAGGTTCCTGGCAACCCGCGGAAGGATTTTCAACAAAAACTCATCACCACCTGCCGATTGTTTGTCACCACCTCCGACTCCAGCAATAGTTTTGAACCCTCAGAGCATTCGTGCTCTGAGCAAAAGCTTGGAGGTGAGGATAGAACCTGATGACGAGCCGAAGAAACCACAGACCAGGAAAGGATACGTTCCGGTTGAAGAGAAAATTCAGAGAGAACTCAATGATATGAAAGAACGAGAAAATGAATTAAGGTATTGTTTATGTTTTTTGTAAATTATAATATGAAATTTTTTTATTAATACCAAAAAGTAAGAGTTTAATTTAAAAGAAGAATATTATTATCATTTCCTTAAATGCATTTTAACCTTAGTTGAAATTTATTTCACCCAGGTTATTTTTTTAAGTATAAGTAGTAGGTATCAAAGGTGAAAATCAATAATTAAATCATTTTAATGATGTGAAACTATATTATTAATGGTGTTAATAATATTTTTTAGGTTGATGAGGTCAAGGATGCTGGCTAAATCTCAGCCAAACCTGATTGAAATCGGCAATGACAATGATTCAGATATTTACGATGGCTCGAATTCTCTAAGAAGTGGGACATCCTCGAATACACTTAATGATGATGACTCAGATCGAGGAGAAAATAGAGGTGGCAAACACAAACCAAATCCACGTCGTCGTAGTACACTTATTGCTCAGTGGGAAAATCTTATTGCCGCTAACAAGGAGTCTCTGGAAAATGGAAATGAAAATGAGAATAATGTTTAAGAAATAATTAATTATTTAATCAATTATTAATTACTCAATTATTAATAATTTTTACCAATAATTTACGTTTATAACTTACTTTAGTACTCAAGGGTCAAAAAATTTCGGTATTTTCTTCACGGAAATTATTGCAGTATTAAATTATTCAATTTTAAACATAATAATATTCAATTTCTTAATATCTGTTGGCTAATAATTATAAATTATTTTTAAAACGCTTCACTGTAATGAGTAATAAGTTATGAATTTTTTAACAAGTTACAGCAACGATAAATTTAGTCTAGAGAAATTATTTACAATCAAAAATGTGTGCAATGTCAACACAAGGCTTTGAAATTATTTTTATATAAACATATCGACATTAATTAGTTTTAAATATTCAATAATTATTATTATTTATATTTATAAGTTATTTTAATAATTAATATTGAAACATCTGTGTAATTGTTTCAGCAATTAATTTTCATAATAAAATAATTTAAATATAAATTATTTACTCAGGTTTCATTTATAGCCGTTAATCGTAATCAAACAATATAATCGATGTGTAATTGGTCTTGCGGTTAGTAAATAGATTTAATGATTTATTTGAAAAATATTATCTTCAAATAATAATAATTATAATTCCCGCTAAGCATGCGTAGATTTGTTGGCAAGGGAAAAGCGCGTGGGCTGAATATACGCGTGCGCTCTTTCACCCGATTAAATTTCAATTGATAAAACTTTATCAAAAATACAATAACTTTTTAATTAATTGTACTACTGAAACATCTTTATTTATCTGGAAATTAATTCTAAATAAATTTAAACTTTTATTTAATTATTTAAACAAAAGACTTTTAATTTTTAAATTCGTCTATTTATAGACTTCGAAAGAGATTTTACCGATTATGAAACGTCGGATGTTGCGTTTGATTAATTAAATAAATTAATTATCCGGTGAAGTAGATAAAATAAAATAATAGAAATGATAAAATAAAAAGTACAGATAAATGTAATCTCAAGAACGTCTGTGTTGTCAATCCCTTTCTACATTTTTTCGTTGATTCGTCTCGGGAACGATGACGATATGTGCGCATTCTCCGTGAACGGATCGATGCTGGAAATAGCTCAGGCCGGAGTACGAGGTGAGTCGCCTTCGTCAAGAGCCCGAGCCTCCTTGGCTCTCTTTATTACATTAAATAAAATAAATAACCAACCAAAAGGCTCATTTTATTTCATTTTCGGTAACAATCTATTGGCATTAACACTGAAATTTAACAAAATTAAAATTACTGATAACTAACAGTGAAAAAAAATTACAAACATCACAAATAAGTGTGCATTTTACTTAATATTATAATTATATTTAATTTAATTTATGAATATTGTTACTGTGTCAGCTTTTTAAGTTTCTCGCTAATTTTAAATGCCGCTAATGATTTGTGGACGATGATGTTAAGACAATGTGCAACTTATCAATGGGGCTCATGAGGCTTAATTTGTAAGTACAAATTCAAAAGAATTTTTTTTAACTTTTTTTTAATAAAATTTGGTGAATTATAGAAATTTTTTTAAGAAAAAAAAAATAAATGCCCTTGATTATCGTGAAGGTTTCTTTATGGGACACTTGCCAAGTTGCCAGTGACCTGCAAACATAAAGAAATCGTTGAAATAGTCGCAGTTGTCAATTTATTTTTACTTTAGTTATCATCTTTTTTTTTATTAATGAATAAAATTTTTTGAAAACCTAAAATAGAAAAACTGGTTATCATTATCATTATTTAAATAGAATAATGTAGTAAAAAAATAGTGCGATACACGCGACAATAGTCATCCTATAATCTCTATAACCACCCTTACTATTCCACTGGCTGCGCACACACCCTCGCTTATCTTCGTGCTCCAACTCCGAACAGAATACGGGATCGATATTCTCGAAACAGCATGTTCGTAAATTTACCGAATGACGAAATGGGTCACTTTTAATTTTATCATTCCGCTGGATTGGTATATTTCATATTTTTTTCTTTATTTTTATCCATTCATTAGTCATATACGTCGTTCTACGAGCAGTTATCATTAATTATAATACAATTTAATTAAAAAGTTTTAGAGTAAAAAATAAATAATGCATACCCCATTAATGGAAGTTGAAGATTTGTTGAGTACTGGATATCGAGCTTACTACCGAACTGTTGCACCTTGTCCACCATCGGCTGAAATAGTAATTGGCAGTTTAGTATTTTAGTTATTTAAATTTTCTGGATTAATATTTATAGTTTCTATGAGTATTTTTATCAAAAGGACTTTGAAATTTTTTTTTTTTTTTTTTTTTTCGTAGGCGTTTATTGATTGTCTGCTCTGTCAATGACTATAATTCATTTCTTTTTAATTTTTCACTAAGTGCTTCCGTAGGCTTAGGCAATTTTTATCATTTTCATTCTAAATTTACAATACTTACTAATTCAATTCTTCTAAAATTTTTTTAAAAATTTTTTCAAAAAAAAAAAAGTCACATTTTTCTTCTACAAACAATATCACAAAAAATTATTTCAAAAATTTTACTCTAAAAAAAATAAACTTACATTTTACTACAAAGAACTGTTATACGCTATTTATTAAAAAAAATGTAACGTCAATATTTAACTTTCTTATAAATAATGTACCTCCAATGTATCGAATATATAAAAAAAAAAAAAATATATACATATTATATACTATATTGAATCAATCGATCATGTTCTACTTTAGCTCACCAGGAATTCTTAACGATTGAATAATAAAGATGAAAAGAAAGTACCAACAACAATGTTGATTGATAAATAAATTATTTTTCAGAGGCCTCCCCCATGCCCTGGTAGCTTGTAGAGAATGCACAAGCTGATGCACAAGGGCTTAAAAAAGAAGAAGAAATCGAAGAAAGGAAAGAAAGGTGAGGAGGAAGAGTTCGACCCCGAGGAGCTCGAGCGTTACAGGCGAGAACGGGCGGAAGCCCTTGAAAAAGCTGCTGCCTCTGGCTCATCAGCAGCCGGCTCTGACGAGTGGCAAAAATTCCAAGCGTTAACCGCTGGCGTTGACTCTATTCTCAAGAAAACCCAGGGTGACCTCGACCGCATAAAAGAGACCTCTTTTTTCCAACGCAAGGCGCCGGTAGTTGAGGAAAAGAAGCCCGAAGTTGACCCGGAGGTTGAGAAGGAACGCGCCAAACGTTTCATTGGGTTCGACAAGGACGGGAATCCCATCGAACAGACCGAAAAAGAAGAGCCAAAAAAGAAGGAGATCACCGTCACCGAGGAGGGTTTCGTTGAGATACCTGACGACGACGAGGAAGATGAGATTTCAGCAGAGGAGGATATTTTCGATACGACCTACATCGATGTTCTTCAGAACACCGAGATCCAACTAGCTTACATCCCCGACAGCCCGACTGAAGAAGAAGCCGGAGACGATCCATTTGACACCACCAACGCCGACAAAGTTCTCAAGACTGTCGACAAGCACGGTAAAAAAGTAGTCAGTCTTGGTAACGCCGTCGAAGTACTTTCCGGTCGCGTCGAACAAGCCAGTGCTTGTAAGATCTCTCGACCTCGCAAAGTCAGAGTACAAAATTTACTTCTTGACGACGCAGAGCTCGAAACAGTCGCTTCCGAGTCCGGAGAAGCTGCTACTGCAAGCGAACCTGTACAAGTTGAAAAAACTTTACTAGACGACGATTCAGATCTTCCAGATATACCTATCGATTTAACAAACTTACCTTCTATTTTACCAAGACCAGTCACACCTGACGTTAACCTCTCCGACGAGAACAACAAACTCTCAGAAGGTCCCATTGACATCTCGGAGTTCGAGATCTTGCGAGAGAAGACTATTCTTGAAGAAATACCTGATTTAGATGATGATTTTGATCTTGACGGACCAGTTGAAGCTCCAGCTGGCTTGGTAGAAGACGACGATCCTTTCGCGGAGAAAGAACCAGAGGGAGTCCTTGCAGAAGTTGAGATTATTGAAGCGAGCTTTGAGGTCGCTACTTTCGTAAACGAGGAAGATCCTTTTGATACAACTTTTGCTGATAATTTGGTACCTGGAAAAACAGAGCTCAGGTTTATTGAGAAGGAACTTGACGAGTTACCTGATTCAGAGGTCACTATCTCCTTGACAGATCCTGCAGGTCTGAGACGTGACTACGAAACTGGATTGCTGAGCCAAAAAGCAGAAAAAACTGATCTGCTAGGTGGTTCTTCCACGGATTTAACCCAGCTTTCTGATCGACCAATCACCCCGGCTGGAGAATTGACTTACGCAGATCCTTTCGATACTTCAGGAATCCAAGAGCCAGTTCCTGGACAAGGTGAGTTGAAGTATCTGGAAAAAGAGCTTCTGGGAGACAATAAGGCTGATAGTCTTGAAGACGACGATTTTGATCCTCGAAAAGAAGAGGTAGTTGTGAAAAAAGCAGCTCCTCCTCGTCCACCTCCGGTTAATTCTAAGGTTAACGTTAAAGTTGAGTTTGAAGCTGAAGAAGCGGCTGCTGTTGCTGCTAACCAGCTGCGAAAGCCTTCAAGGCCAGAAGTACTAGGCTTAGCTCCGGTTAAAAGTGTTTCTTTCGAGCTACCTACTCCCTCTCAACGCCCGGACTTGTTGATCACAAGTGACGAAGAAAAATCAATACATTCTAAGCCTCTGACGCCTTACTATTCTCAGAAGTCTATTGACGAGGTAGTCGAGGACAATTTGCCCGAAGACGAGGTCAATGCAGATCCGTTTGACACGAGCTTTGTCGCGAAAGTAACCCCTGGAAAAACAGAACTCAAGTTAATAGAGTCAGAATTATTGAAAGAAACTAAGTTAACTCACAGCACCAGCGAGCACGACTTTAATCCTCGGGAACCAGTCAAGAATACCAGAAGACAGAGCGACTTTGGTGGAACTTCTGTAAGACCTAAGAGTCTTAAATTTGGAGAAGTTACCGAGTCACTGTTGGAAGACGACTCCGAGACTAAAAGTGTGTATGAAATAAACGAAGCGGTTCACAGGAAAAAAGCTGACCCGCCTAAACGGCAGGAAAGTTTGTTGGACGCGGAAGTTGACGTTAATATAAAAGCTCTTACTCCGACTATCGAGACCAGGGTTTCTGAAGAAGACGAAGAAGAGATATCCTATGTTGATCCTTTTGACACCTCGATAGCAAGTAACATTTTGCCAGGGAGAGCCGAATTGAAATTACTCGAAAGTGAGCTCAGCAAAATTCCAAATCAGGTTCAGCCTATTAGAATAAATCCGATCAGTGCGGATAAACTTTCGCGGCCACCAAAGCCACCTGTCATTGAAGAGGACCAAGATTTTGATCCAAGGGCTGAAGAAGCGGCCCAAGATTTCTTGTCCTCTGACGTTCAAGACTCCGGGGATAAAGTTCTTACTCCTGTGCTGAGCCAAGATTTTGACGACGACACCGTTGATCCATTTGACACCAGTTTCGCTAGTATTGGACCTGGAAAAACAGAACTTAAACTTTTAGAATCTGAATTAGTTGATAAGTAAATACCTAGGGTTTTAAATTTTGATTAGAAAAAAAAAAAAAAAAAAAAAAAAAAACAAAAAATGGATTCCAAAGGTGGTAATCCATTTTTGATGGATGATTATCCATCAGAACCGGTATCGCAGCAGTCGAATCCATTCCTCCAAGACTTTGGCGCGGAGCCTGAAGCACCGGTGAGCAATGACAATCCATTTTTCAACTTTACCGCTGAAGAAAACTACCAGCCTCCACCAGCTGACTCTACAAACCCGTTTGCATTCTTTGAAGCACCTGCAGAAGCTCAGCCCCAAGAGTTTGTACCAGCGACAACCGCTGCTGAGGTACAAGAAGCGAATCTTCTGGGTACAGACACTCAAATAAACTTATTCACAGACCCCGTTCAGCCGGAAGAGGAGGTAGATTTTATTTCGCAAAACGAAAAGGTCAAAGTTGAATCAAGCAATGAAAAGCCTACGCCAAAACGCCCACCACCGCCACCCAGACCCGTTCCACCCCCCGCACCACCTAGAAACACTAAAGATTTAATTCTCTCGGTTACTGGCGCAATGGACGCGACTTCAAATCATTTGTTGGACCGCCTCCAAGCTACTCGAACACCCAGTCCTACGCTGATGCACTCGCCATCGCCAACGCCCGAGCACAGCTATGCAGATTTACTGGATGTTGATAACAATATTCCAGATTTGATGTCCGATGATAATCAATCAGCAGCCACTGGTCAAACGGAAAACATCCTTGATATATTTGATGCTCCCCAAACTGAAATGACCGCTGACTCCATGTTCTCGGCACCTAATATGGACACCAGTGTCAGTCAACCTGCTACTGATGTTTCTTCTTTTGGCGCCACAATGGATAATCCGTTTGGCATGGTTAATGAACCCGTTGTTGACGTGATGTCTTCTTATGGGTCTGAAGCTGTTCCTGAAGAAACTCTGCAAGAAAAAAGACCATCAGTTGACGTTTCTACGCCATTTTCAGACATAACTTCACCAGAAGCAGTAGATGCTCCTGATGCATCGGTAATTATTGAACCCAAGTCGAATTTCTTCTCCGTAGATCAATCTACAGTATCAGAAATGACCTCTGCACCTTTTTCATCAGTCCAGTCTGGTTTATTCAGTGCAGAACCGCTTTTCACTACTGCACCAAGCGAAGAAACTACTCAACAAGTGCCAACAAGTGCTGCAACGAATATCTTCGCGTCAGGTTTGCTCGAGGATTATGGAGAACAGCCTGAGAGTGTGGGAGAACTGATATCTTCTAGTCCAACACCAGCATCCGAGTTTCCCAATAGTGCTTACAAGCCAGAAGAACTGGATAACTTTGCAGCGGCAACTGAGTCCATTCGGAACACTTCTGACGCATTTGATGCATTTGCCAGCAAATTCGATAAAGCTGCTGAACCAGAAGCTGCAGACCCGTTCATGGACGCTTTCGGATCTGGACAAACTGCCATGGATACGTCCAGCGATGTCTGGGGTGACTCTTCAGCAGCTGGTTCTGAAGGAGCTAATATTGGATTTGGTGAAAGTGAAGGATTTGATTCTTTTCTCAGCATGACGGCTCCTCCTCAGGAATCTGGGAGGATGAAACGGAACGACTCCGCAGATTCTGATGAAGCTCCTGATTTTAGTGTTTTTATCAAGCCAAAGGAAGGCACTGAAGTCTTCAATGAGGGTGGTCCTGTGCCTGTTTTGGCTCCACCACCAAAGAGTCCGATAAATTCAGCTTACAATGACTCGTCGCCTAGGTTCAATCCATTTGACAAGTCAGCTGGGTTTACACAGGAGGCTGTTATTCCTTCGGAGATGCCCCAGGTTCCTGAGATGACTAGAACGGATTCTCAAGTAAGTTATTTGCAATTTAAATGCAATTATTCAGTCAGTATTCAGAATAAATTATACATCTTTGTTTTTTGTTGAGAATTGATACAAAAAGTAGTTTATATCCAAAAACTTTTCAATATTAAATAAGAAATTTAAATTCTATATCGAATAAAAATTTTAAAATATGCATCGAAAAAATTTTGTCGAGTATTCATATTTATATAACCTGAAAATATAAGAAGAAAACTGCCGTTAGATATTAAAATAAACATAATATTTAGCAAGACTAATAACGCTAGATCAATATTTTTTATCTAAATAAATAAATCAACATAAATTACCTAAATAACAAAAACTGAAAAAGTTAAACCTATTTCTTCTTTTCTAAAATTAAAATTCTCTTACCTTCATACATATATAATAACTGTATAAATAACTAATTTCCATTTCTGTTATTTTAGGAAACTCCACCGACGCCATTGTTCGATGAAGATGTCAGCCAACCACTTGAAGAGTTTCCTCGAGTCACGTACACAGGAGATGGTTGGGAAATGCACTTACGTCAACCGAATAAAAAGAAGATAACAGGACAAAGATTCTGGAAAAAAATATTTGTAAGATTAGTTTACCAAGGCGACGCTCCGGTTCTTCAGTTATTTAATAAGAATGACGATAAAGATCCATTTCAAGAACTACCGCTCCTAACATGTTACTCAGTGTCTGACATAGCAGCCCAGCAATTCGATCAATACGGAAAAATATTTACAGTTAAGCTTCAGTATATATTTTACAAAGAGCGCCCGGGGGTTAGGCCAGGACAAGTTACAAAAGCTGAGCGACTTACCAACAAATTGAGCCAGTTCGCGGCTTATGCTATCCAGGGTGACTATCAAGGTGTCAAAGAATTCGGCAGTGACTTGAAGAAACTAGGTCTTCCCGTGGAACATGCTCCCCAAATTTCGCAGCTTTTTAAATTGGGCTCGCTCAATTATGAAGATCTTAAAACATTTTCCTGTGCAATTGAAGAAGCTCTCTTCAGGATACCAGCACAGCGAGAACGTGCGCTGACCTACAAGATGGAGGAAGTCCAGATTAATGTCGTAGACGAGCTATATGTCGAGCAGAACGCCTCCGGACATGTAGACAAACAAATAGCAAGGGTTCGGTTGTTTTTCCTGGGCTTTCTTACCGGGATGCCGGATGTCGAACTGGGCATCAATGATATGTGGCGCCAAGGAAAAGAAGTTGTCGGCAGGCATGACATCATTCCAGTGGTGACTGAAGAGTGGATCAGGCTGGAGAGCGTTGAGTACCATTCCTGTGTTCAGCTAGACGAGTATGAGAAGTCTAGAATTATTAAGTAAGTTTTAATCGTTAACATTTATTTCGATTAACTATTCTTTTCAATTATTAATATTACTAATTTTATATTGTTATTGCTCAATATGCTAATAATTGTTATTAACACGTAGTTTCATAGATGATTTTGTTTTTTTCTAACTATTTTAAAAGGTTCAAACCACCCGATGCATGCTATATTGAACTAATGAGATTCCGGGTAAGGCCACCGAAGAATCGGGAGCTACCGCTTCAGCTAAAAGCTGTAATGTGTGTTACAGGAAATAAGGTAATGCTTTTATATTTTAAAAATTTTTAATCAATACTTACTCTGCTTTTTAATAATAATTTTATTCATTTTTTAAAATCGACTTCTCTGGTTGGAAACTTTTACTGTATTGTTTTATTCTATAGGGAGAAGTGAAACATTATATTTTATTTTATTTTTTGTTATTCTACTTTGTTTTTTTTTTTTTGTACCTTCCTATGAACATTTTAATATATTCTAAAAACTTTTCCTTTTTTCAATAATAATAAGTTTTTTATTTTTCAATATTTTGACTACAATTAAAAAAAAAAAAATTTTTTTCTAAAGATTTTCTAATTCAAAAGTTGATAATTAAAAAAATGTAAACACTCTACATTCTAATTAATAATATTAATTTAATTATCAGGTTGAATTGCGCGCTGATATTCTGGTTCCTGGATTCGCATCGCGAAAGCTTGGACAAATACCTTGCGAAGACGTGATGGTCCGATTTCCGATTCCCGAGTGCTGGATTTATTTGTTTCGAGTGGAAAAACATTTTAGATATGGCTCAGTAAAGTCTGCTCACAGAAGAACGGGCAAAATAAAAGGCATTGAGAGATTTTTAGGTGCTGTTGATACTCTGGAGCCGCAATTGATGGAAGTAACATCTGGGCAAGCTAAATATGAGCATCAGCATCGTGCTATTGTTTGGAGAATGCCTCGCTTACCTAAAGAAGGACAAGGTAGAATTACTACATCGGGATAATTATTATTTATAGTTTGCAATAATAGGTAATTGGGAATCGATTATTGATTATTGACTTCTTTCAGGTGCATACACGACTCATGGACTTGTTTGTCGCATGTGCTTGACATCTTATGATCAGATACCTGAAAAGTTGACCGAGTATGCGTATGTTGAATTTACAATGCCAGCTACACAAGTGTCACACACAACAGCAAGAAGTGTCAGCTTGCAAAATAGTGACAGTGATAATCCACCAGAAAAATACGTGAGAAATCTCTCGCGACATGAATACAGGTACTCTTTTATATATTTTATTTAATCCTCTTTAACGGAACTCTCACATTTTAAATGATTGAAATAAAATTGTAGAGCGATTAATCATAAAATATTGAGAATATATTTTTCATTAAATAACGTGATTTTTAATATTTATTAAGCTAAAATATTTTTTTTTTATTTTATTTTTTATTAAAATGTGAATTTAATTCAATAAAAATTAACTTACAGTTATTTAATTATTTTATCTAATTATTAGAGTTGGAATTGAGCATACACAAGGGGAAGGACCCGGTGCTTACCTATCAGCAACCAAGAAAATTCCAGAAAGTACTCCAGAGACTCATGAAGAACCTTCACCTCAGCCAGTAGCAGCTGAGTCAGATTCTGATTCTTCAGAATAAATTTAATCTTAAGTCATGATAGGTACAATATAACAAAATAAATTATATACAAATATATAAATATATACATATATAAATATGAATACGATGATAAATGGTTGATAATAAGGTAGAAGATTAGTATAAAAATGTTATAATTTTTCCTTGCCAGTTTAAACGCTTGATAAAGTACCAAGCCTCTAAGTACCAAATGCACACACTTAAAATAAATAATAAAGTTATACCTATTGTAATTTAAAGTAAATAATTATGAGAATGACTAGTCAGTAAAAAAAGACAATACACACAGCTTTTTATGTTTATTTAAAAAAAAACAATTTGTTACTTTTCAAGTATGTAGTTTTAATTACAATTCATATTCATAAAAGCTCATTGCTAGTAATTTTAAGGAATTGATTTGAATTTAATTGAAGATAATTTATTATAAATTTAATTCGCCCGCAATTATTCTAATTTTTTGCGATAATATATTAACTGGTGCAATTAAAAGTATTATATTTATTTATAGTTCATGATAGCGGATGTTGATATCACTAAATCATATCTTTGCTTTAAATCATTAAAATTATACATATAAATTGTTATTTAATCAATTAAAGGATGTGTTGTTGGTATTGCGTATTGATGAATGATTGAATTGCTAGTCATAATGATTATTTAATAATTAGTCACTTAATTTTAAGATATATATATAAATTAAATATAATTAATTAAGTAGATTATAAACTAACTAATTATAAGAATAGATTAAGTTTCATTTTTTACTATTATTTGACACATGTCACGTTATGAAAATTCTTGAAAGAACCCCAGCTAAGACCAAAGATGACAAAATAAGGATGCATTGTGTATTACAATTATACATAATGTAATTATATTATAGTTATATTATTGCATTTATTTGGTGCTATTTTAGCTACCAAATCTATTGTTAATTATTATAAATTATAATATACATAAGATATCAAAGTATTATATATTAAATACATATTTAAGGTACTTATAAAATAGTTATATTAATATATAAGGTATAATTAAGTAAAATATAAGTTTCATTTCAATTATTTATTATTTAAACACTTTTATGTCCTCAATGAGGTCTTGGAGAGTGAACTCTAGTCAACCGGCACGCTAATTAATGTTAATTAATATATAAGAATGTATAGTCATAATATTAATATTTATTTATAGTCTTAACACAAATAATTTGTTAAAAAATAATTAATAGTTTTAAAATGATTATGGATGTGAGCTTTCATGTAAAAATGAAAAATTAAGTACTTGAGAAGTAACATTATTTATAACTGAGTTTAAATAAATGAGCGATTTATTTAAAGGGTATAATGCTTGTTAAATAATAAAAAAAAATATAAAGATTTTTGAAACTCGTTGCCATGACGGTGACGTTTCCAGCTCGTGATCTCAATATGTAATCGTACGTGAGAACAAAAACCGCGTTGTATAGCTAAGATAAATTTATCCAACGTAAATTGCATGAATAGAATTATTTATTAGCGTAAATATTATAAATAATTTTAATTGATATTTGAATGAGTATCAAGTATAAAATAACAATTGAACACAACAATCGAAGATAATTATAAATAATGCAAGGAAGTTTAAACCTTGCTGCAATATAAAGGTGTTTTTAATGTCTTCTGATTAAAATCATACGTGTATATTCAAATATATTAAATTGTAATTCTGATGATGAAGATGATGATAATTATAATGATGATTATTCAGATCTTTCAAGAGTCTACCGATTGTTGTTATTCATGTTAGACATCGACGTAATATATAATTGCAATAATGATAAAAAAAATATATCATAATATATTTTCTTTGATGTAATAAATTAAAATGAAAATATTCAAATTAAATATACACTGAAAATAATAAAAGTATATGTATAAAATAAATATTATCTGCGTAATAATAGTATCTATCATCGGAAAAATAAACGAATCCAACGGTGAAGTTTCAATAACAAAAGTTACCACACGTAGCTCTTGTATGAATGTTTAAAAAAATCAATTGTATTAATTAATTAATTAATTAATTGATTAATTGATAAGGTTTTTTATTATTTTGACATTTAAAAAGCCAGTTTCCGGGTATATATGACAATGGTTTTTAGACAATAGAGTAAATAAAATCTCCAATTTATTTTCAAGATTAACGATTGTGTTCTGAAGTCATTAGTAATTAATAATAAATAATATGATATAAATAATAAAATAAATCACACACGTGTGAAATAACTGTAAACAAGTAAATAAATAATAATAAATTGTTAAAATAAAAAAAAATATAAATGAAATAGTAGGGTGTGATGTATAACGATGTGCAAAAGACGTACCAATTATTTGTTGTATATTTATTTTTTGTGAAGAATTTAAATCTGAATAAGGAATGAGTTTGAAAGTGTTCAAGTTTAAATTCTGTTTGGCTTGTGACAGAGACGTGTACTTATAAACAATATGAACTTGTTTAAGCAATTAATATAAGCCGTTTCATTTATTTATTTCAATCATTAATTACCAGCTAAGTTTCTGCCCGCTTCCCCGGCGAAAGTTTATATTTATGTTTGTTTAATATTCCTTTTATGATTTAAGCTCTTTATAGTAATTTCATTAAAATTAATTATTAATTAAAAGTTATTAGTAAAACTATAATCTAAGTTGACTTAGATTTTATATGATTTTTCATATAAAAATATTAAAATTTATTTAAAGCCTTAAGATGAACGGCGGGGCAAGATGGTCGATCTTTACAGCATCGAATGTTATAATGTTATAATTCCATGCTTGTATAGCTTATTGATAAATTAGGAGACATTTCTTCTATGTCATCCAGAGTAGAAGTTACAAAAAAAAATTAATTAAGTTCCTAATTAAACATCAACAGGATTAATCGTCTAATTCGTTTATCAAATGTCAAAAATTGTCAGATGTCTTTCTTCACTATAAACAACTCGTGAGTTAATTATTACTAAAAAAAAATGATAAAAAATTTATGAAGTATGTGCTAAAAATATCTTCATCTCCTAAGGATTACGCAGTTGTTAGTTTCAAGAAAAATGTCTTCTCATTTATCACCAATCAAGATTATAACGATTAAAAAAATTAACAAACAGATATTTAAAAAAATGATTAACAATTAGAAAGGATTTTTTGTTTTACATCCAGCTTTCTCGCTTTAATTTATATTAACCTGTTTTAGTTTTAATATTAAAACTTTCACATCCTGAATTAATCACGATTAAATTTATCCTTTCTCAACAATTATTACAACTATTTATTTAATCCACCTCTAAATTATCATTTTTTAACTGCATCACTCATAATTTATTATTAAAATAAATAATACTTCTCTTATTTTCCTGAAACAAATTGCATCATAAAATAAACGATCAAAAATAATTAAATTATATATAATACAAGTAAATCTTACACATTTCCGTAATATTTAATCCAGCGTTACATCATTATTAATGGTCTCTATTAATCTCGGTAAATTATTTCCTCATTTTTTATTTACTTCTTTTTTTTTTTTTTTTTTTTTTTGTTTTTGTTAATATTATCTTCATCTTTATGATCTTTTTTCAGTCATTTATCATCATATTTTATGTTGTTCTTTTTTTTTTTCTTCATTTAAAAAGAAACAACAGTCGGTAAAGATGGAACTGATAGAATTTTACGTCATCTACCAGCTATACCACCTCCATTTTCTCTCTATCAATGTGAATGTTTCTTTATACTCGTAATAAAACCATCAGTTCAACTCAGCTGTTTCTGTTTACTAAACAAAGCCGTCAGTTGAACGGTGGACGGCAAACTAAACGCTTTATTTTGTTCGTAACTCCGTTTTATTTATAATTATATTACAACATTATACTGTTATTCATTTTTTAAAAAGCTAAACTACTTTTTTTTTTTTAACTCTAACCTATTAAAGTGTTCGCTTTTTATCAAGAAGTAATTAAAACAGCGAATGTCAACTTGTGACGTTTAATAGATAAATAAATATATCTATTGCGCGCTTTTATTTTCAATTAGCGATTACAAAAAAATTAATAATAAAATATATAATTATTTTTAACAACAAGTATCAAGTATACGAATGTGTCCTGTGGATTTTGAGTAACCTCGAGGAATTTTTAAAAACGTAACAAACAGTGAGTATCTTCTACCTCAATTTCATAATATATTATGTTTTTATGTTCTTTTTTTTAGGTGAAGTGGACTTTTAAAATCCTTAACCCGTCAAGGTAATTGAAACAAATGTATAAAAATATTAGAGAGGTTTTTGTAATAGAAGAGAAGGTTTCTCTGTCTTGTTCTGTGAAGTAAGAATCGATTCTCGAATATCGTCGAAACTCTGGCTCGATAGAGGGTAGTTCTTTGTTTGCTGTCATCAAAAGTTAAATAATAATGCGTATTTTTTATTATTGTAACAGCATAAATCCAGCGTGATGATTTTTCTGGTGGTTGTATTGTTGCAATTGTCATGGTACTGAGTTGAAATGTGTTTCTTATCATCTATATCATTATTATTATTATAAATATCTCAACGCGTTAAATCGTAGTTTTGCACGAGTGATTACCACACAAGTTCAGTGAAAAATATTGTTATGTAAGTTTATTTATGCTGGTGATGATTATGATGATTGGATTATAATTTATTATCATTACGGTGAATATTATATTGGGTTATGGGGGTATTGCATTACTGCATTGAACGTTGATAAACGTGAGATCTTAACCCCGGGTATTGAAATTCAATCTAGCCTTTCTATTTGTATAATTATTTAATGACAACATTAGCAATTTGTCTGGATTGATCTTTTGATATAAAAGTTATGATAATTATATGATGAATTAATCCTCTAATTGTATTTCTTTGAAGTAAACGCGGAATAAACGAGTATAAGACGGAACGCAATTTTCAAATTAATCTTATAATTAAAATAAAAGATAATAACATTTTTAAATTAC